ACCAAGAGGAAAAATTATAACACCGGATTTTCTGTTCTGGCTTATATGATTTAGTTTTAGTGTTAGTGTTGACTATGACATGGACCTCAAAGGTTTGTTTGTTTAGGGAGAATGGTAGAATACGCAAAATATAGAATTTTTTTAAAATTTTCATGTATTTGATTAGCATGAAAAGTAAAATAATAGAAAAAATAAATTTTTTTCGTACTTGAATTTTCTCACAAATAACCAACATTTTTTTCTTGTAAAAAACACAAGGAAATATAAGAAAGTTGAGATCTATAACTAACTTTTCATTTTACTCTTATTTTTCTTAAAGTATTTTATTGGTTAATAATTTAAAAAAATTTTGGTATAAATTTGATTAATCATATAATTCTGCCCAATGACCTTTGTGTTGATGATTCTCTTAGAATTAAGTTTCGAGTCACTTTTTTAAAATAGTCTAACTTTCAATTATAGCTTTATATTTTTTTAGACCGATTTAATATAATTAAGGATAATTTAGACAATTATAAAAAATTTCTTATAATTTTTTTTCAAACAATAGAATGGAACTTTTTTAAATATTTCTCGTAAAATTCTTCATTCTAACCAAATACATGAAAATATATTTTTTATCATTTTCTTTTCTTTTACTTTACTTTTTATCATTTTGACTTTCCATCATTTTTTTTTCCCTAACCAAATGCGCAACAAATGAAATGTCCTTTGGATTTGTTAACCCTAATGCTCCGTTTGGTATGAAGGATGGAAAGTAAGAAAGATCAATTTTCTATCCTTTAAGGATAGAAAGTATGAATGATAAGAAAGATCAATTTTTTATCCTTTAAGGATAGAAAGTATGAATAATACACTTTAATTCTTTTATGTTTAGTTGGATGGATGAAAAATAAAAATGACTAATTTTATTTTTTATTTTTTTTGTGCTAACTAATATTAGGGGTAACAATCGAGTCGTGTTGTGTTAGATTCGTATTGAGTCATAAAATTATGAGTCTTTTATATTTGTTGTTCGCATGTCAGGTCTATTTCAAGTTCGTGTAGAGTTATAATCAAGTTTGTGTTATAGTGTGGAGTTCGAGTCATATCATCGTGTTGAGTTAAAAATTTTCACCCATAGTTAAAATGAAAAAAATATTTTTTTTATTTAAAATTCTTATTTTTATTTTTAAATTTATATATATATATATATATATTATCATTGTATTTTTATATGAAATTAATGTACACGTAATATATAAACAAATAAGATACATCTCAACACAAATAATTAATTTTTCATCCATTTTTCTTCTGATTTTTTAGAGAAATTGATTTTGGTGAGTTGGAGGAAAAGTTAATTCATCCACTTTTTCATCCTTTCTATTTTTCTTCCTTACCAAACATGATGTTTTATTTATCTTTCTAACTTTTCATCTTTCTATGTTTTTATTATATTAAATGGAGTATAAAGAACAACCAATGATGTTGGCCCAAAACTCAAAAACTCGTGCTCTTTTTGAAATTAGCTGAACAACTATGTTCGGAAAAAAAATTGTTTCTTATGTTTCGTTTGGTACGAAGGATGAAAAGAATAAAAGATGAAAAATAAGAGGCATACACTCTTTATTCTTCAAGGAATGACAGTAGAAATGATACATTTTCTTTCCTTTATGTTTGATTGGATGGATGAAAAATAAAAATGACTTTTTTTTTTTAGCTAAGATTAAGAGTGACAATCGAATCGTGTCGTGTTATGTCAGATCCGTATTGATTCATTACAGATTTGTGTCGAACATTAGTCAAACCTAACTCAACTCATTTAACTAATTGTGTCGTGTCAAGTTATGAGTTGACTTATTTATTTTCATATCGTGTTCGTATTTGTATTGATTCACATAAATTTTGAATAAAAAATTTAACACTAATATTTTTTTTTAATTTTTTAATTATATATGTATATATACACATATATATACATATTTTATTATTGTATTTTTATATGAAATTAATGTATACATAATATATGTATATATTAAAAGATATATATACAAATAAAATACATCGCAATACAAATAATTAATTTTTCATCCACTTTTCTTCTGATTTTGAAGGGATTGATTTTGGTGAGTTGGAATGAAAGTTAATCCATCCATTTTTTCATCCTTCTTATTTTTCTTCCCAACCAAACATAATGTTTTATTTATCTCTCCAACTTTTCATTTTTTCAACTTTTCATCCTTCTATTTTTCCATCATACCAAACGGAGCATTAACATTTTTATGTTTAACTAGTATTACTCTTTGTCTAAATACCTAAATCCCCTAATACATACAAATCTGAATCCGACTTCGAGAACATTATCTTATTGAGGAGGGAGAATGACATTGGCCCTGCGGCCTCTTAAATTATAAATGTCGCAATTCTCTCTTATGTACAAAGTGTCACATGTAATAGTATAGACAATTCAAATTCAAATTATTTTCGCCACTCATGCAACATATTTAAGAATGTAATTAAATCATTATTTTTTTATCTCAATTTTACCGTGGCCAGTGATGAAGATGAAAATTGAAAAGTGATGAAGATGAAAATTGAAAAGGTACAAAATGATTGCACATGATTGAGACAGTTAATAAGTTTGCATACGTTGAGACACGTGAACAATAACGCATGAGAGAAACAATGTCCATCGGAATCAAACCGAGCAGATGAATAGTGCTCTGTTCGTTGGGTCAAGCTGTCAAAATAGCTAATTCAAGAGCTTGACCAAGGATAATGCCAAGACAATTTCCTATGGAAACCCTCGACAAGCAATAGAGTAAGACAAGGCCGAATTGAAGGGAACATTGTCTTAATCATAGGATCGTAAACATCACACCCTTATAAATCAGATATAACATAGAAGAACTTTAGGAGAGATCTTATTATTCAAAAAGGATTTAGCTAAACATTAAGTGTACCATCTAACTTATCCAAGAGTAAAAATTGGGGTATAGACTTTGCCATACAACCCTATAAAATTCATGTTAAGCATAGTTCTAAATTATTTTGCTTTCTTTCAGAGTCATTACTAGCTTAGACATTAGAGTGTCTCCGACTGACTTATTCCCGGTCTCTTGTAGTTTACTCGTTTTGCAGGATCAATGATTTAATCTCTATTCATCTTCTCAAATCAAATTAAATCAAACACTAAAGGTAAGAGATTTTTGCATCTTACAAAAATAAAGATGAAGATGAAGATGATGGTGGTGCTGGTGAAATGAAAGGCGACTACAACCGATTTAAGCAAAGGGAATGCAGCGGGATATTTTATTCGAGCGCAATGATTGACAGTCCTCGGACAACGCCTTGGGTTGAGCAGCATTTCACGCACTCTACAGTCCAATGGTTGCATTCTAACATGTGATATCTTCGCACGTTCATCGGAGCATTACAAGTTGTACACTTTTATGGCTCATCCAAACAGGTGATATCCTCCCACTTAATTAATCGAAGCATTTGACTTTTATCAATCAAATGGAAGAATATCACATTGCGGTACTCTTTTTTTTTTTCCTTCCCTGGAATAATGCTAACTACTTTACATATTCCATGGATTTTTTTTTTTTTATTTCTCTTTAGTATTTGACCATTGTTATGAACTCGAGAAATCTATTATTTATAAGTAGATTTTTCACACCAATGCATTATTCTTTTTAACAAACATAGAATCAAGTAATCAACAGCTTGAGCAGGCTTTATGTCACGGTTCTTGAAACTATATCCAACAAATGGAAGGAATTGAAGGCGAAGAGATGTGATTTAAAAGCAAAAAAAAAAAAAAAAAGAAATTTGAAATATTTATTAGTGATGTGAAAGCAGAAATTAAGTGTGAATGGTTTTGTCATAGTTGTTTAAGGAAGTGTACGTCCTTAGAAGTAGATTAGATGTATATTTATAGAGTTAAAAAAAAAGATTTATACCAGCATTTTGTATTTGAGTTTCACAAGTTTTCTCAACTTGGCAATGTTTTGTTTGATCTATTTCTATCTCAGCTGTATAAATTCTATTGCGTACTATCTAGGGTTGTATTTTCTCCTAAATTGCATGCTATCATATGATTTTGATCCTCGTTGACCCCTCATATTGGAGTTAGTGTATCATTTGATTCGCAATTCTGCATTTCCATTTTGAATGAGTTTAAGCCACTCTTTGGTCCAACTTTTTCATTTTATTTTTTTTTTTGGGGGAGGGGGAGGGAGAGTGGAGAAGGGAGCTTGAACCTTTCACTTTAAGAAGACAAAATTTTCACAAGATAAGAAATATTATTGGATCAAAGCCCGTTGGTAGTCCAACTTTTTCATATTTATGTTGTTTCTTTTATATGTCACTCAACGAACGTTTTATTTTTTTACTAATTTCTTTTCTTGTTTTTCAATGCATCAATCTTAATATCTACATTATAGTTATACTTATGTTATAATATGTTGTTTTTTATTTGTCCAGCATTCTACGCCATAAATCATGCTTGGTCTTCCACCTATTTGGTCAATAGTTCGGTAGAAAAAATTAGTTCAAGTCATGCAGTTTTTAGGTTGCAAACAAATATATATATATATATATATATATATATATATATATATATATCTGGTCATATTCTTGAAATGGTATACTCCTGAGTTTTCTTCTTGAATCAATTAATGATTTGAACATGTGTGTCTCTGTGTTTGTGTGAGAGAGAGGGAGAGGGAGTATTCTTTTATCTAAATCTGAGAAGTTGGCGGTAACTACCTATGTGACTAATAAAGCCTGCCTTGAAGCTATAGTCAAGTGCTTTGCACGTGCCGTGTGAGGATGGGTGTGCATTGTATCTATTTCCTTTAGTTTCATATGACTTGGAATCTGCAATTTAATGCAACACAATTTGACTTCATCACGCAAAGCAAAGCCCACCTGAAAGTTACCCTATAAATTGGATCCTCTCAGGTCTCAATCCACAAACCTATCTTTCCATTTCAAGGTTCAGAGAGAGAGAGATGGCAACATTATGTTCATATCATGTTCTCACAGTTCTGATGATCACCACTCTACTATGCATCTTATACATCCAGCCAATCTCAGCTTCACCACAAGCCTACACAAACTTCATCAAAACTTCTTGCTCCAAAACCACATACCCACCACTCTGCACCCAAACTCTCTCTCCCTTCGCCACTTCTGTCCAAACCAACCCCATAAAACTCTGCAACAGAGCCCTCAACATCTCCATCCAAGCTGCACACAACACCTCCACCTTTGTCTCAAATCTCTCAAAACAAAAAGGACTCTCATGGATTGAAAAGGCCGCCATTAAAGACTGCATGGATGACCTGAAAGACTGTGTCTACCAGCTCAAGCAAACTATGAGCGCAATGGGTAAGCTTGGGGGTTCTGACAGGGAATTTCAGTGGGCGAATGCGAAGACATGGGCCAGTGCTGCTATAACGGATACGGACTCGTGCCTGGATGGGTTTGAAGGGAGAAAAGTGAGTCCCCAGATGAAGAACAAGATCAAAAGTACAATGATGGGTGTGGCTAGACTGACTAGTAATGCCCTGGCTCTCATCAACCATCTCAATTATTAGACTCGGTTCAAGTGAAATACTGTCACTACTGAGTCTGATAACTTCTTCACATTTACAAGAAGTTCTTTTATAGAGGGTTTGGAAGGGAGAGATCATGTTTTGTGGAATAGTGTGTCATGTGTCTATCCTTTTGCTGCATTCACCGGAAGTGAGGTTCTTGCAATAGTGATACCACAGTTAAAGGGCAGATAAGGATAAAAGACCGAAAAATAATTTTCTGTAAAATAAATTTTGTTTTGATTTATTTGTAATTTCCGATTGTAAAACTAATAAAAATATAATTTTACCCGATTTATTTTCATTGTTAGAAAAAAAAAGGTGTATGGAATAGTCTGTAGTTGGACCCTTAAAAAGGTCACTCACTAAACAAAAAAAATGGATGCTACAGTGAAGTTCAAGCATGTCCAACAAGATGGTCACGTTGGGATTGCTCAATAATCTTAGTTTATTATGCATTACCATTAAAGCTAGCTAGTGTAGGAATCATCTTACGAAAAGGGGGCCATATGGCTCCCCTACCTTTTCTACAATTGTTTATTAGTCTTATTTATTGAAAATTATGAGGCTGACACGTCTAGTTTAGTCATCTTCAATACAACCTCCAATTCCAATAATCGTACAGTGCCCAAGAGGGAAACAGAACTACAAAGCAAGTTAATGCTCCAAAACAAAGATGAACAAGCCCCTAAATTAAAGCAGTGACAATAAACTTCAAATTATATCATTGAGCTTAATAAACTTTGGGAAAAAAACCAAGTATAAAATAAATTTTTTAATTTTTAAAGTATGTGTTTAGTGTCTATTAGGTACCTAATCTTCCAATTGTGTCTATCAATCCCTAAGGTTTTTAATTTATATTTAAGTGGTCAAATCTCAAACGTTCGTCAGAAAATCATGACGGTTCTGGTCACGATCTAATCACATGGTTCTTAATCTTATGTCTATTTGGTCTCTTAAGTTCATAATTTATATATATTTGGTCCCTAAAATTCCTAATTTATGTCTATTTGATTCCACGTGATTGGTGCGTAACTAGTGACATTAATGATTTTTTTTTTATGAATATTTGGGATTGAATTACATAGATATAAATTAGAAACCTTATGAACCAAATAGAGGTACAATTAGAAAATTAGAGACCAAAAAGACACTATACACATACTTTGGAGACAAAGTTTACAATGAACCCAAATCCATACCTTATTATAAGATTTAATCCACAATCGATCATAAACTTAATTTTATACCTTATATGCCAGAAGTCTATCCGGGAACCGGCGATATGACCGGGAACGTGAGTGATTTGAGAGAGAGAGAGAGAGAGAGAGAGAGAGAGAGAGAGAGAGAGAGAGAGAGAGAGAGAGAGAGTATGTGAACTGTTTGAGGAATTGTTTAGCCGAAGGTGATGGTGACTGAAGTGTATAAGAGGCAGGGGATTGGTGGTAGCAACGAAGGGTAGCTCTTAGCATTTCGGAACAGCACAAAATGTGGGCTTTGGTAGAATAGATTGAGATACTTATACCTTCGATATATGTAGAGGCACAAAGACTGAATGACTTCTTTATTTTTGTTACAAGGTGTTCAGAACAGTTTACGTTAACTGTTCTCTAGAACTCAATAACAATCACCGCGACATGCACTGAAAGACTGAATGGCTTATCAGTTTTCTTTTAGGGCCCATAGCATTTGCTTTCCTGATTATTATATGGGTTTTATCACAAAAAGGAGGTTTTAACCGATTGTTTTCATCTCATATTCAGAATGATGTGATTAATTAATCGTATTTGATGTTTGCATATTAGTCAGTCGACTCAGAATTAAAAATCGATGACTAAAATTCTTTTCGCTCTTAGTCAAATTCACCATCAATATATACCTCATAGAAACAAAAAATCTATTTGATCCATACACTTGTAGAACTAAGTAAATAATAAATATTGAATACTGATGAGTTAATTAGAAGGGCTTTTTATGTAGAAATTGCATTTTTCAAAATTGACACATTGTTTGAATCATTAAGTGCCCTTGTTAAATCATTAAGATCTTTTGTTAACGAATTAAATCCTTTCGAATTCATGCCAAGAATTAGTCATTCTTATAAACTAACTTCACATCAGAATTGTATTATGTGAATTTACTGTTTTGAAACTGTCACTAGATAGCGTTTGGCATATAGGTGATAGAGAGATTAATAAATATTTTTTTTTTGAAGGGGAAGGGGGAGGAGGACTTGATCTTTTGACTTTAGAAGGTAAAATTTTTATACGACAAGAAGTACCATTGGATCAAAAATCCATTAATGAAATCAATAAATAGACCAGCATAATAAAGTTGAAAGTTTGCATGGTTTTCAATATGCTTTATTCATCGGATAAAACTCCGTAGTTTTGTCCACAAGTAGATTAACCAAAGCCAACGTATTGCTGGTGATTTGGACTGCAGGTTCAATCTGTACTCTCAATGCCTTCTTAATTGCACCATTCACTGCAAGCCCATTAGATATGTCATAGCATTCACTTTGGCTTGTAAGCGCAGCACTAACCCACGTTTGAACATTACGTTTGTGCCACAAAAAGTTACCATTGCTTTGTCTCAACTCCTTGAGCTCCCGGACAGATTGCCTTAGCCGGTCACTGCTGTCATTAACCCCATCCAAACAGTCCTTTAGGGCTGCATGGTCATTAGCCCTCAGTCTTTGATTGCTGGTTAGCATGGACAAGAATGCCTTGGCTGACTCGGTCTTGGCTAGGCTAGTGACCAACTTAGTCTCGGCCAATGTCTGTGGGGCTTGGCAGGGCATCGGTAGCATAGGTCTTTAGGGTTGCCTCACACACTAGAGGGTATCTTGTGGCCTTGCATGCTGCCCCGACGTAACTTATCCCAGAAACGGACAACATGGCGGAAATGGTGTTTGTCGCAGCAACGGAAGCGGTGCCGGCGACAGACAAGATAGAAAGAAGGAGTGAAAACAATGCAAAAGCAGCTCTAGCCATTTTTTGTGGATAGTGATGGTTCAAACGTAGGGTAGTTGAGAAGTGGGGAGTTTTCTATATAATGGAGATTATTTATAGGGGTAAGATGTTATCACATATGCCTTCTTTGGTGCATCCTTAGTAGGGCTCTATGGTATTAAATGGTTATAATTTGCAGAATGAGTCAATTGAGCATATATTTAGATCTTTTACCACTAACCATATTTGTCCAGCCTGCCTTGAAAATTGGCGCTCTATGGCGTAAAACCTATATTTTGTTGATGTGAACAAAGCCCACCCAAAACTTTGGGGGTGCTTGTTATATATATCTTAAATGGCAAAGATGTTGGTGTAGTTTGTCCTAAACTGTTGGGGGCGTCAATGTAATTTATCATTTTATTTTTAATTAATTATGAATTTAATGTTAAATAGAAATAGGATACCAAAAAATTGACTTTTGGTAGATCAAAAAACATCATGGCACGAAAATGGATCAAAAAATAAAAATATTTAGTCTAGGTGAAATTACAAAAAAATTGAAGTTAACAGTTGGCCTAATGATTACCACCCGTTATTAAATCTTAAGTCAGAGTAGACCCTCTGTAGATCTCTCTCCATGCTTTTCAACTTTTTACTTACTATAAACAAAGTTAATTGTACTAGATGCCTATAAAGTATAGAATTTATTTCATTTTAGTTCTTAATATTTTAATTATATTATTTTAATTCTTGAAGTATTAAATATATTTTTTTGTGGTCTTTTAAGTAGACAGTATCAAGATTGCTAATAATTTTTTGATATAAATTTATCACGTAATACTTAAATATAGGTAAAAAAATAATTTGAAGAACTCTTGATCAAATTTTAACCAAATTTTGGTCAAAAAACTACCCAAATTATACAGTTTTGAACATGAATTATCCAAATTTTGGTCGAATGCTATCCATGACAAGCCCGAATCTAAGTGGGTCCAAGCCTAAGCCATGGGAGAGTCCAAACTAGCTAAAAAATAGGTTAAGCTCAGCTCTTAGACTCAGTCCAATCCAAAGTCCGAGAGACCCAGAAAGATGAATGTATGTGAGGAAACAATCATCGGAATAACAACTACATGACCATCACGTCTACAATTAATTGTATCGATCCTTAATGGTAGTTATCCTCCTTGAAAGACTAATAGTCTAATTTTTACGTTATCGCTTCAATTAAGACTCTATATCTATAAATTATAAGCCCCCAATATATAAGGGACATACAACTATATCTCACACAGAGAGAACACACACTTCACATTGAGCATACTCTTGCTCTTCCTCTTTCTCTCCAACTACCTTGTACTCTCTCATTAATAGAATTTTTCGGTTACCATTACTATCTTCAGTGGTTAGGTCACCAAGACCCAACCACCCAATCTTTTGCCTCTTATTATTAACTGTCTCATTAATTGTTTTACATCATATACTTGACTGATTTAATTATACATAAACCTACTTTTGTGCATCATTAATTCATATAACACTTTTTTTTATCAAGAACCACCCAATTATTGTTTACCCATATTTAAATATTGCATGACCAGTTTATGATTAAAAATTATTAGTAATTTGGATATTGTTAGCTTAAGCCTCGAGACCACATAAAAATATATTTAATTTCAAGAACTAAGATGATATAATTAAAAATATTAAAGATCAAAATAAAATAAACTCTATTCTTTAAAGATCTATTGTCCAATTAACCCCCGGAAATAAAATAAAGATAAGAACAAACTATTCCGCATTTTCACCATGCGGACGAAAGAGTTTATAGCCATTACCCTCCTCTATTCTTCCACATGGCACATAAGCTGCTCGACAGAAAGTCTCTGTGAAACCCGAAACGAACCGTGAAAACACACACACACACACACACACACACTCACACTCACACTCACAAAGAAGCAGAGATGTGGAAGCGCGCGAATTTACTGTGTGCGCTAGTATCTTCCTCGAACTCGTCTCTTCTTGACCAGGTACAGATCCGATCTCATGCGATTAAACGGTTCTCTCCTTTTGTAAATGCCTCATAATGATCCGTCTACGTCTGATGATGATGTTCTTTACAAATTATATTATCGTTTGTTATAACTTGTAAATCTCTTGTTGATTCTGTGCGATTGTAATATTTGCTGATCGGCCAACGGTATTGTTTTTCTCTGGTTGACCGAATGCTTTTTCTCTGCTTGGCTGCGACAGTGTAGTGCACGAAAAAAAAAAAAAGGAAGAACGAAACTAAAAAATTGTCAGTTGTATGTACTGTATAAATTTAGCATGTTCGATCTGAGAATACTGAAATTTTCACTCAGTTGAGACCCTATGTTATGTGATGCATTTGTTAATCATTCAGATTTTATGAATGCCTAATTATTAATAAACAAACCAGGTTTAGTTACAAAATGGTCTCTGATGTTTAGTGACAGTCAATTTGATCCTGTAAGTCTAAATTTTTTCCACAGTTAATGAAGTTTTGTACCTTGAACCAATGTGATCCCTGATGCTAGCCACAATTGAGTTGAGTTTACTGCGTGTATGCCCATTGTTAAAGGTTACATGCAAGTCGCTCACCTTTTAGCATCCACTTTTCAAATTGTTGGCATTATGGATCTCATTGTTTTTTAGGACCCAATTGAGAAAATAGAAATGGCCCAAAGCAAATTGGTATGACCGCCAATTTTCAAGGGCCATCTGTACAGTTAAGCCCTAACGAAAAATGAAGAAGATATAATTATACTTGGCTAGGGAGTTGTTTGTGAGTGGGTATCACACATCAGGCAATTAGTGTAATTACGAATGCAAATAAGTGGGCCAAAGACCTTATAGCTTAAGTTTTTGGTTCAAGTTGGAATCCGGATATCTATATGAAGGCATAAAAATGTGATTCCCGTTACTCCAAAATAAACAGATGTTTAGAAATTGGTCCACACTTCTACCCTGATGATCAGTTGCCATAAGATATAAAGGCCCTTAAGGGACATGCATGCAGCAAGTGATACTCAGGCTATGGACAGAATATATGAGGTATGTGTGAATTATTTCTACCTTGTTTCTAGACTCCCATAGGAGGGACACTGTGTAATGCAATGATAATCATGCTCAGTTTCAGTTATGCAGTTCTTTTGTGTATCTATTTTGCATGATACTATTTAAACTGTTTTTCTTGTTAGTCCATAAACTGGAAATGGCACAAGAAGGATTGCTATTCAATTGAAGTTGGACCTTTCTAATTTAGGTATTCTTGCCAAAAATCTAGAGAAGAATATCCAAATTTAGAACAAAAAAGGATTTCATGAAAGCTGCTTCTAGTATTTTGCATTTTTTTCAGTATTTTATAGACTTCAAATACATGTTATGCATGGAAGTGCAAACTCTCAAATTTCTGTATGGCTCATTTGTTTTTACATCTGTGTAGAATTCTTGCACTACTACACATTTTTGTCTTTTTTTGATCCACCCGACACTGTTAGTACTTGTTTTCTTTTTTTTCCATTGTTAACTGCAGGCAGCCAATGGGTTTAAGAATTGGAAAGCATTCAGCACAGAAATACTGAAACCGGTATCTAGTTGATTGCTTTTTAGTCTCTTACCAGTTTTAGATTTCTGGTGAACATTTATTCTTGAATTTTATCATATACAGGGTTTAGATCATGCTTTGTCAGTGATTTTTCTTTCATCTGCTAAATATCTGCAAACTATCATGACTAGATGCAAATAAATATTCACTTTCTGTCTTTGAAGACTATGTTTCCTACATTACTTTTAGAAAGAGGCAAAGAGACCTCGATCTTCTTCAATTCGTATCAGCACAGCTTTTCCTTAATTATTTGAGTGTTTCACATGAAATTTGGGCATGGAGAGACCCCCCCCCCCCCAACACTTGAGAAAGGACGTGGAAGCCTCCTATTGGAGTTTTTAAGTGAAAGTCATTAAAGAGACGATTGTTTTGCTGTTATTTGATTCAGTTGGATTTTTTTTTTTAAATCTATGAGACAGGGGTGATTGTGGTATTGAAAACTCATATTTTTTGTATTGTTAAGACAGTGCACAGTTGCAGATAAAACTTGGTGGTTCCCTGTTATTTCTTAAATGATAGGGGATGCCCGAGTTGTTTTGCCAAAACCCTGGGGGTTTGTACATTATCCTTAAATCTGCTGTTCCGTAGTCTTGTTTGTAGGAAATGATTGGTCATTTTTCCTGCATTCAATCCAATATTTTTGCACTTTTCCTTGTTCCTTCTAATGTCTTTAATTCAAAATGCCTTACTGATGTGGTCATTTGGTTTGACTTGACCTTTAATTCTACCAATGTTTTTTTAGAATCTTCTCCTTTGAAGTTGTTGGCCCAAATTTTCTGTATAGAAGAAGTTTGTATGTTCTATTATGTTTGCTTGCTTCCTTTGTAGATTTGTTGAGTTTGCCAACATGCATTTACCAGTCTGTGATTTTTTTTTAACTGGGGTTTTGGTGAGATTTCTCTTTATTAATACTTCCACATCTAATTATCAGGTTTCGAGCATTTATCAAGATGTCAGGTGGATTATTTCTGTTATGTTGTTTCCTTTTTTGGATGTAGGCAGGAGGTGGAATCTCCCCCAAAGAGAGAACCCCATATATTACTTTTGTCCTAGGTAATTGACTTTGCATAATTGAATGAATAAATGTTACTATATTTTGTAGGCCGGAGACTGAAGTCATAAACTGTGCTATTTTTATTGCTGTTGCATTTTTTTCCCACATTTTTTGTTATAGATCTTTTGTAGCTGTCTGAAAATATCTTAGGCAAGTCTTTGAATAGTAATGCTCTCATCCCATACAATTGTTGTTTTAAATGTTTGTAAGAATTATGGGAAACATAAGTTTGGTTAATCAAGACCGCATCTGTAATCATTCTTCACTCTGTACAATGAAGATCTGCCATTACACATGCATACACATTTCCTTGTGCATAAATTTGGTTTTTCATGTCTTTGGTTTGATGAGAAGAAAAGAAGGGAACACTATTTCATGCATAAGAAGGCTACTTGAGGTAATTGCTGTAGTCATTGTGAGCTGTGATGCTTATACATGTTCATATGCTTTCAGGAGGCCCTGGCAGTGGAAAAGGTACACAGTGTGCACGGATCGTAGAGACATTTGGGTTCACCCACCTAAGTGCAGGAGATCTCTTAAGGAAGGAAATATCCTCTAATAGTGAGAATGGGTAAGGTAGTCAAGTTCTCTCACCCGAGGATCATTGTCTAGCATGCGTTCGGATTGTTTGATGCCCCCTAATGATGGTTAAATTTGATGTTAGCTCCACGATTCTTAACACAATCAAGGAAGGAAAAATTGTTCCTTCAGAAGTGACTGTCAAATTGATCAAGAGGGCAATTGAATCATGTGAAAATTATAAGTTTCTCATCGACGGTTTCCCAAGGAGTGAAGAGAATCGCAAGACATATGAACGAGTTGTGAGTTTCTTCCCCCTACTGCCCCCAAAAAAAAAAAACCAAAAACAAAGAAAGAAAATGCAGACTGGTGCAGATCAGGCAATGGCTGTTTAAATTTATAAGCTCCTCAGTAGACCTACTGATTGGCAATATTAGTTTCATAATGCTGCTGATGCAAGATCCTAATTGTTAGATTGTAAATGCAGATTGGCACGGGACCAGATGTGGTGCTTTTCTTTGATTGCCCCGAAGAAGAGATGGTCAAACGAGTGCTTAGCCGTAATGAGGTGCTTTTTATTTAACGGTGTTGAACAAAATCAAATTATTTCTTCATCCCCCTCCCTCTAAAATGTGTTGTGATGATGATTTTGGTCAGGGACGAGTTGATGACAATATAGATACAGTGAAGGAACGGCTCAAAGTGTTTACGACTTTGAATCTTCCTGTTATTAATTACTACACTGGGAAAGGGAAACTTTACAAGGTATTCATTCAGTACATATTGATGTATTTAATGTGTACTTATAGTTGACTAATCTTTTGGTGCATTGTATGTACTCATTGTTTCTGTGTCCATATTTGTTGGTGCTATCATTGGATTGTAATTAGGAAATTACGACTTGCCTCTGATGTGCTTTTTGTTCATTTTCTATTCTTATATTCATTTTTGTCTGCTTATAATTGATTCAGTCTGGACCCTGATATTCTGTTTCATTTCATTACTTTTCTAAGACCGATGAATTGGTTGTGGTAATGGAATCCATTGCATGCAGATCAATGCTGTAGGAACAGAAGAGGAGATATTTGAACAGGTTCTGCCTGTTTTTGCTTCATGGAGGTATGCATCTACACTCTACTCTCTGGAGTTATACATTCAGATTTTTGTTTTACTCACCATCTGCTACTCATTATGGCTCGTTCTGAACATTTTCATTACCACAAACACCAATGCGTTGGAGGAGCATAAAACTATTTTCTTTCATCCTTTTAATCCAATGAATCGTGATCTTCTTTGCATTAAACACAACCACCAGTCCTAGCCTAAACCCACACACCGCCCAGGGTCGGCCTTTTTTAGAGTGTATGATATGCTTTGTGATCTCCATCACAGCTGAATGAGAAAATACTGACTGAGCATGTATAGCATAAGCAAATGTTCGCATATAGAATATCAGTAACCTCAAATATTTCGTACGAATCTCTCTAATCATCTATTTTTTCCCCTTCTTTCTTGTCTTTTATGTTCGTCTATTTGTTTAATTAGTGCATGTGTGTTCATTAAACATATTACCAGTACCCTTTTCTGCAGCAGGTGAATAAATGAAAAGAACTGAGAGGAACAAAGCTACCAAAATTTTTGGTATTTGGCGGCTGCTATCCTGTTAATTTCCACAAAGAGGACTACAGGTTAATTGGCATTTCTATTTTCCATAAGTCAGGAAATTTAAATGCTCGGAACCACTCATCAGCCCAATGGGTAGCAAATTCTGCTCCCCCCACCCCACCCCACACTTAAAAAACCCTCACGAGTAAGCACGCTATCATTGATATATGTTATCACCAAACAGTTATACAATTCCAGTAAGTCTGTTAAACCTGTAGTTATTAAATGTTCTGGTTATATATTGTAATTGGAGTATTCGGGTTGACTAATGCCTATTTGCTGCTTTTGCATTTAGTTAGTGATGTCACATATCAATGGTGACATTGTATCACATAATGAATATTTACTCCCCAGGCCAGGTTCCCCACACGCCCCCACAAGTAGTTTATGGTGTTTGTGCATGCATAGCTTAACATTGTGCACTTTTTAACCACAATTGCTTGCACATATTTGCTATATTGAGGCAATAACAGTCACCTCAGCAGGACCTAAATTTAACCTCATTTGTCATTTCAGTAAGCATATGGAGGAGAAATCGAGAAATTTTATTTAGAAGCTATGTAAGAATCTCATATAACTTTAAACCCTAATATCTCGTAGAATAGGCACCCATGTCTTCTTTTTTTCCCTTCTTGAAACATGCTTTCCTTTTGTAGTGGATGGATCATTGTATTTGAATTCACCGTCATCTTCTTTTTTTTGTGTGGGAGGAAGGAGTTGAACCTCAAAAAGATAAAGTCTTCACAAGATAAAGTGTATCATTAAATCAAAAATCTATTGGTAATTCACGGCCTTATTACTGATAACCTAGTATGTAAAAATGTCGATATGTCATGGAAGCTACTTATGTTGTATGCCTCTAATATTACCGATAACCTAGTATGTAAAATGTGGGAAGTTCCTTATATGCCTCTAATGGCAACATGTAAAAAAGTTCACCAAATGTCTGATGAAATGGCTAGGAGGCGTAATGTGTTGGTGTTTCCTTGGAACTCACTCATATCAGTAGATACCGTGATGGCTTATGCTTTATATTGTTGCCATCAGCTATTTAGACTTAATTTATTATTCAATTAATTATTATAATTCATTTGTGTTGTTACTTTAGATCAATTCAACGATATTAATAGTTTACATTAATAAATTAAGTTTAAATATATTACTGTTTAAATATTCTTGACATCTATTCGTACCTGAAATTGAGAGTGAATGAACAATAATAAGAGGAATAATTATTGGTAACTTTTGGGGTTAAAAAATTGAAGACCTCCAGTCCAGTTGGTCCCACCTTCTTATTGCTTAAGCGAGAGTGGGCAACTTCACCCACGTTGAAATTATTGTTATTATTATTATTATTAACATGACATAAATAAAATGTCATGTTTGATAAGGAAGGAAAATAAGAAAAATAAAAAAATGAATGGATGAGTTTTTTTTTTAACTCACTAAAATTAATTTCTTCAAAATTGAAAGGAAATTGAACGAAACGTTAATTATTTATGTTGGAATGTATTTTATTTGTTTATATATTTTTTGATATATATATACATATTATGTGTACATTAATTTTATATATAAATACAATGATAAAAAATGTATTTATATTTAAAAAAAATATATTTTTTCTATCTTATCAAGCACAAAAAAAAATTGAATATTTTTATTTTTTATCTATCTTACTAATATAAAAGAAAGAAAGTATATTATTATTATTANTACATTAATTTTATATATAAATACAATGATAAAAAATGTATTTATATTTAAAAAAAAATATTTTTTCTATCTTATCAAGCACAAAAAAGAATTGAATATTTTTATTTTTTATCTATCTTACTAATATAAAAGAAAGAAAGTATATTATTATTATTTTTTTTTAGAGGATAAAAAATAAATTTNAAAAATATTTTTTCTATCTTATCAAGCACAAAAAAAAATTGAATATTTTTATTTTTTATCTATCTTACTAATATAAAAGAAAGAAAGTATATTATTATTATTATTTTTATTTTTTATTCTTCTTGCCAAATGGAGCATTTGAGTAGAAGGGGAGGAAGCGGTTTGTGGGTAGGAAGGACAGCCGGGGGAAGGGGGGGACAGAGGTAGCTCCTGTTGGGCCTGGCAGTGGTGGGGCAAGGTTGATTCTCTCTCCCGGAGGACAATGTTATTTTTTGGGTATATTTTGATGGATTTGGACAAAAGATTATAATTTCATCAAGGGTAATTATTGAGTTTGATGGATGATAAGTAAGTTATTTTTTGAATTTCAATATCATTTTTGAAAATATCAAGAGTCGAAATTTGTATTGAATTTTGTTTTAATGCATTAGTTTTTAGGTCATTTCTATTTCTTACTCAAATTTAAATTTAAGTAAAAACAAACTAAAAACAAGTTCTAGTCTTTGGCTTAAATCTATACCAAATAAAGGAAAATTCAACTTTTTATTTAAATCAAGACAAATTCAAATATTTACTCAAATTTGTAATTGTCAGATTTTACTCTTTTAAAAGATTCAATTTTCATATTTAATCTTCATTTAAATTTAAGCTTGTTTATTGAATGTCTTCTATCAAATCAAGTTTTTTATTTATTTTTTTACTCAAATTTAAATTTGAGTTTAGGTCAAGATTGGAGCAGCCCTTCTGTATGTCAATCAAAATTGTCTTCACTCTCCCCTACATTTTCCTTTAAATTCTTTGGAAATTAGTGTCGAGCGCATAGCCCATTCAATCATACCATTGAATGCGGATAAATTTCATTTTGTCCCTTAAAAGATACAAAATTTTTAATTTGTTCCTTGAATAATTTATTTTCTTACATTATTCTCTCAAAAAAAAATAAAAACGTTTTAATGTGATGTATCATTTTATTTTTGTCTACTTGTCCATCTATTCTGTTTTGTAATTTCTAATTGGTTAATTTTGTAGAAAACAAACAAAAAATCAAACGAAAATAAGATAGTAGACTACATTGTAACGGTTTTATTTCTTTGAGGGAACAATATAAAAAAATTAATAATTCAAAGGATAAATTTAAAAAAATTATTTTTTGGAACACAAAATAGGATTTTCCCATTGAATTTTGAACGAAAATAAGAGTAATGCTTCCTAACATGCAACCATATTTCTCCCTTCCTTACACCTCATGATTTTTTTCATTGCTTGTTTTTTGTCATCTTGTCAATCGAAATTCCAAGCCACGATCATACCCAACACACACACACACACAGAGTGAGAGAGAGTTGCTGACAAATGGGTGATGAAATGCTCGAGTAAGATTACTGTGCTCGAAAATGGAAAGTGAAAGAGGTGCACTACGCTTAGATGTCACTTTCCTGTTGGGTGGCCCATCTTCTACCATCGCCATCATTGGCTCCACAAACCCATGTTTTGACAAACACGCCGGAACCACAGAATTCTCGTTTTCACACACCTTTCACAACATTATTATTCTCTATAATATATATATATATATATTATAAATTTTAATTAATATTAAATCATCCTCCTTTAATACAAATACCACTTATTATTTTTAAATGGTGAATAAAATTTAATTAAAGTGTAATAAAAAGAATCGAAATTCTACAAATTAATGGTGGTGCTGGGAAATCCAGACGGTGCAATATTCTGGTGCTTGATTATTCAACTGTTTGCAGTCATTGGTGGATGGGTGGTTTATTGCTCACGTTTTGACAGTGTCATACACGCACCCAGGACTGCCGTGAGAGTAGCCAAAACACCTCAAATAGCATATGATTTCACCTAAGAAAATGCAAGCCATCCATGACTCGTATATAAAGTAAGGTAACTAAGTGGGAGCTGTGGGCATGTAGGAGTTAGGAAGCAATCAACTGCAGAAATTTAGTAGCAACTTTCATGGGAAGACAACCATGCTGTGACAAGTTGGGAGTGAAGAAAGGGCCATGGACGGCCGAGGAAGATAGGAAACTGGTTAATTTTATACTCACCAATGGCCACTGTTGTTGGCGGGCGTTTCCGAAACTGGCCGGGCTGCGTCGCTGCGGTAAGAGTTGCCGCCTCCGGTGGACGAACTATCTCCGGCCTGATTTGAAGCGGGGACTACTTAGTGACGAGGAAGAAAGATTGGTTATTGATCTCCATGCCCGTCTTGGCAACAGGTTTCTCTTTCATCTCTCTTGTCGTAAAAAAAAAATAAACAAAAAATAGAGAAATAGATCTGATAATTATAATCATTAATTTTAATGTGAATTCTAATATTTATTAGAATAACTCCTTATCTATTCAATGATTATGATTATCAAATTTAATTTTTAAGTTCATGTAATATTTTATTTTAAGTATTGTTATTTTGCATGTATAAGCATGTTACGTTGTGCGTGTATATGCAAAGAAAATAATAAATTAATTAAATTAATATCAAATATAGCAACATAATTTTGACATGGCAAATCTGTTTAATTAGTATAATGGGTCTATATGAAACTGATTTTTTTAAATGAAAAATTACAGTTTGAAAATTTTCATCAAAAAGTTAGAATTAAAAAAATTCCCCAAAATCATTTTGGGTGTTCTATAAAAAATTGAAAAAGTTAGAGAAATCCGTTTGGAATATTTTTTTAGCTTTTTCTGCTTGTGTCAAAATAAAAAAATAAATATACGTATGTGTGTATAGATTATACATAATAGTTTCTAAAATGGGAATTTCAAAATTTATTTACGTCACTAATAATATTTTATAAATATAATAAATTTAAAAAATTATGTAAAACTCACGACAAAACACCAAAAAATTATAAAAAATATCATAAATTAATTTCTTGAATCAATTTAAATAATTTTTTTTTGTCCAAAAAGTTACTGCATAAACTAGTAAAAAAGTCAAGGTGTAAACCAGTGTTATTAGAACTGGACCGGACCGATTCAACCGTGAATCAGAACCCTAACCGGTCCGATTTCTTAGTTGAACTGCTTAAGGAAGCGAATCTGCTAAAAACTGGAAAATCGGCCGATTTTTAACAAAAATTGGAAAACTGCCCGATTTTTAAAAATTAAATTACATAAATAATTTTTTTTACCCTAAATCAGTAAATAGTTGATTTTTTTTAACCTTATTCTTGAAAAAATTATAAATGACACCCCTTTTTTTTCTTTATAATTTACTTGAACCTCTTTACTTTGCTTTAAAATACAATAATCCCTACTTTATTACTTAATTTCATTAATTTTATGGAAAATTTTATGTATTTTATACATATTTTATTTTTTTTAGCTAAATTATATATATATATATATATATATATATATTTATTTATTTATTTATTTATTTATTATATGACCGGTCCGACCAGTTGACCCAACGATTGAACCAGTCAACCATTGACCGANGAAAATTTTATGTATTTTATACATATTTTATATTTTTTAGCTAAATTATTAAGTTTTGTAATTATTATATATATATATATATATATATATATATATATTTATTTATTTATTATATGACCGGTCCGACCAGTTGACCCAACGATTGAACCAGTCAACCATTGACCGAATCTCCTTGCCGGTTCGATGACCGGTCTGATTCTGATAACATTAGTGTAAACGGACGTAGCTTATTTCAGTACAAAACCCTTAAAAACTTTATATTTAAGCTAGCTCTTAACAAGCAAGAAAAAAAATGACTTTTCATTATTATTTTTTTAACTTTTAAAATCGGAAAACATTCTCTAGATTGAGTGGACATGGTGGGTTTAATGCTCCGTTTGGTACGATGTAAAAGTGGAATAATGAAAATTTGGAAGGATAAAAAGTTTGAGGAATAAATAAAACATCATATTTGGTAAGGAAGGAAAATAAGAAGGATGAAAAAGTTGATAAATTAACTTTCCTTCTAACTCACTAAAATCAATCCCTCCAAAATCAGAAAGAAAGTTAATTATTTGTGTTGAGATGTATCTTATTTGTCTATATACATATATTATGTATACGTTAATTTCATATAAAAATACAATGGTAAAATATGTATATGTATATGTATATGTGTGTGTGTGTATATATATATATATATATATATTAAAAATTTTAAATTTTAAATTTAAAAAAAAATATTTTTTCCATCTTAAGTAAAGGTGAAAATTTTTGACTCAACACAGTGACACGACTTAAACTCGATACGAAAATAAACAGGTCANGTAAAATATGTATATGTATATGTATATGTGTGTGTGTGTATATATATATATATATATTAAAAAATTTAAATTTTAAATTTAAAAAAAAATATTTTTTCCATCTTAAGTAAGGGTGAAAATTTTTGACTCAACACAGTGACATGACTTAAACTCGATACGAAAATAAACAGGTCAATTTGCAACTCGATATGATACAATTAGTTAAATGAGTTAATTTTTTTTTTTTTTTGATAAATTAAATTAGTTAAATTGAGTTTGACTAATATTCGACACAAACCCGTAATGACCAAATACGAATCTGACACAACACAACTCGATTCGATTGTCACCCCTAATCTTAGCCAATAAGNAAATTAAATTAGTTAAATTGAGTTTGACTAATATTCGACACAAACCCGTAATGACCAAATACGAATCTGACACAACACAATTCGATTCGATTGTCACCCCTAATCTTAGTCAATAAGAAAAAAAAAACATAATCATTTTTATTTTCATTTTATTCAACCAAACACAAAAGAAGGAGAGTGTATTCTTTTTACTTTTCATCTTCAAAGAATAGAAAGTATATCCTACCAAACGGAGCTTAAATGAGAGAGGAATGAGTCTAAATTAGATTATTTACACGATTAATTAAACTAGTTAGAATAAGACTGGTCAGTACACGAACTCAAATCGGACTCCAACACTAAAAAATTGTGCTAAAAGCTAACTAGGCAATTCAGAGAGATTCTTTATGTTCTCTATCACTTTCACCTAATAATAATAGCATTAGCCTAATACCCGGGTATTTTTATTTCTTTTAGGTGGTCAAAGATCGCATCAAGATTGCCAGGAAGAACTGATAATGAGATCAAGAATCACTGGAATACCCACATAAAGAAAAAGCTAATTAAGATGGGTATTGATCCAATCACTCATGAACCACTGCATGAAGAAGCAACCACGCAAGAAATGCCTATATACACTGATGCCGGCCCAAAAACTGACATTAGCCTGCCGGAGTTATCATCGGAAAATGAAGATCATGCCACCACTACGGACAACCTCATCGAGAATTGCTCCGCTGATGAAACTTCATTGCTTAAACCTCACGATGATGATGATGACCCAATGTTGAGTTACATATTGTCGGACGCCTTTCTTGACGCAGCATCATGGAACTTCAAAGCTGACGGTGATGAATATAGTGTATTAGGGTCGTCTTCCTCAGACGATAACGCAGCATGGTTGTTGGATTATCATGATTTCGGTGAAGAGAACTTTGATTTGGGGTGTCTCAACAACCTGAACATGAACAAGTTAGAGATGGGAAAGAATTAAAATTCACTGGCTGGATTAACAGTTCACACCCATTATCAGAATAAAAAAAAAATGAATGGGTAACCCTCAGCAATCGACAAAGCCTGTAAAAACTTAGTCAGCCAATAAAGCAAACAGGTGGTGGGTTTCGAAATCCAGAGAGAAAAAAACATGCTATGTGGCATAAATTTACAATGGATAGAGACAGCAAGCTTTCCTTCTTATTGTGAAATTGAGAAAAAAACAATGTATGTGCATGAGAGCATTAAAAGCTCGCCCCTCTCTAAAGAGTTGTGTGGCTGAAGAATAGTGATAATTCTCGGAAGAAGGTGATAATTCTCTATGTATCGGTGAAGTATGCGTAGAGCAGACTTATTTATCTGATAAATGACATGTTTGCAATAAAATGAAGAATGGCAATCTCAACCTCCAAACTGCTCGACTGATAATATGAATGAGTTGAAAATTGATTTTTTGAGTTTAAACTTTGATAATCCCTCGAAGTTGGACCATAAATAATTTATCCCTCATAAATACTCAATTTCAGCGTGGTTGATTTGTTTTTAATCGGATCAAAGAGAAAATTCGATAAGGTTTACGTAATTGATTTGAATACCTCTGACTATTAAATTAAAAAAAAAAAAGAATANATGACATGTTTGCAATAAAATGAAGAATGGCAATCTCAACCTCCAAACTGCTCGACTCATAATATGAATGAGTTGAAAACTGATTTTTTTAGTTTAAACTTTGATAATCCCTCGAAGTTGGACCATAAATAATTTATCCCTCATAAATACTCGATTTCAGCGTGGTTGATTTGTTTTTAATCGGATCAAAGAGAAAATTAGATAAGGTTTACGTAATTGATTTGAATACCTCTAACTGTTAAACTAAAAAAAAAAAAAACAGNAAATAATTTATCCCTCATAAATACTCAATTTCAGCGTGGTTGATTTGTTTTTAATCGGATCAAAGAGAAAATTCGATAAGGTTTACGTAATTGATTTGAATACCTCTGACTATTAAATTAAAAAAAAAAAAGAATACTAGCCACGGCCATGAAAAATGTTCAAATATTTTGTATTTTTTTGTTCAACAATCATAGATGTCCGAACCAACTTACATACACCTCCATTAATCTCCTCCTTAATTCGGTCAAAGTCATGTCATCCATGTCAATTCTTCATAATTTGGCTTTAAATAATTGTCAAAATTCAAACTCAAGACATTTAAATTTATAATTCATATTTTTTACGACTTAAGTTATCCTTTGTGTGTGCGCGCGCGTACCAAATTTTGGATGCAGAATGTTGAGAACATGTANTCATGTCATCCATGTCAATTCTTCATAATTTGGCTTTAAATAATTGTCAAAATTCAAACTCAAGATATTTAAATTTATAATACATATTTTTTACAACTTAAGTTATCCTTTGTGTGTGCGCGCGCGTACCAAATTTTGGATGCAGAATGTTGAGAACATGTTAAAAGATAGGGATAATTATTCAACTACTTTATGAATGATAGAGAATGGTTAAAGCCATTGTCCCACTCAATATGGATGGCAAGGTAGGATTACCACGAGGAAACTATGTCATATGCTTTTTAATAATTTAACTTTAAAAATAAAGTAAAAGTTTAATACGGTATCAAATCTAGAGATTCTGCTTACAAGTGTCATTGTCATTCGGATCAATAATAACACTTGAAAATAGTAGAAGCAAAATCTTCCTCGGTATCCTACCATTACCATTAGAGCTCGAGGAAACTATGTCATGNTAAAAGTTTAATACGGTATCAAATCTAGAGATTCTGCTTACAAGTGTCATTGTCATTTGGATCAATAATAACACTTGAAAATAGTAGAAGCAAAATCTTCCTCGGTATCCTACCATTACCATTAGAGGAAACTATGTCATATGCTTTTTAATAATTTAACTTAAAACTAAAGTAAAAATTTAATATGGTATCAAATCTGGAAATTCTACTTACAAGTATCGTTGTCATTCGAACCAGTAATAATACTTGCAAATAGTAGAAGCAAAATCTTCCTCGGTTACGTTGTATGTTGAAGTTCTTCCTCCTCGAAGACAACAGAGACACAAACCCACACCCAGAGATAGAGATAGAGAGAGAGAGAGAGAGAGAATACTTATCAATTTATTACATCTGTTTACTCACAAGAAACAACTGCATACATAGTAGGAGGTAGTAAGATATCTTAACGCAGTGTAAAAAAAAAATTATTTTATTCTTTTACGTTACTTTACCATTTTTATAATGAATAACTATAAATCAATTCTACTAAAATCTATGTCTCTTGATCGACACCGATATGGTACCACATTTTTTTGGGGGTACCGGAGAGCTATGCCATAACTATTTGTGAGTTACAAGTTTCACCAAAATAATTAGGTTGTGAAGCAACTCCATTTTCAATGAACTGGCTGGGATGTCACCTTTACCGTCTTGAATAAATTTTTGGATTAAGACAATAGAATGCTACAATTCAACTTGTGCCTTCAACTAGATTCACCAACTTAGCTTTAGTTAGTGTGGTTCAAAGTTTCTCACTTGCACTCCACACCTAAGAATGTAAGTCATCCAAATCATGGGATGTGACCAGCACAACTGCCAACTCAGGCAGCAGTTTCATCAAGTGGGTACTGAATATACCTACCTTTCTGAACATTATATCCCTTTATATATATATATGTGTGTGTGTGTGTGTGTGCGCGCTTGTGTGTGTAATACTAGGAGCAAGGTGGCTCAAAAACATAACTTTCTTCTTTCTTTGTCTGAGAACGGGTTGCCGGATCCAGATATATGATCTCAATCTCAAATTCTCCCAACTTCTATCAACTCCAATCTCTGCCATTGAAATCAGTGGGTCCCACAGGCTGTTATATAAGTTACATGAATGGGATCCAATAACCAACGATGCACAAACAACATAAACTAAAATAGAGAAGATTTAAGACAGAAAGGATCGAAAACACTTGGAAACAATGGTAGTGGTCCTGGCTCGACTAATCAACCTGCACTAGCTATCATCGACAAAATACTTGGTTTATAGCTTCCCGAATCACACACTGCCAAAATCACGTGCCTAGAGGAAAAAAAGTGATCTTTGAGTGGATTGCAGAATCACATTCTCACTTTGATTTGTGCTTGAATTGGGGCCTTGCTCATAAACATAGCTAATATAACTCAGTGCTAAGCTTTTTCACTCAATAGGAGCATTTCCTAATAGGTAAGTACCTTCCAAACCAAAGTCACGTAAGAAAATAGAAATTTTCAATAAAGAGGAGAGTTCACCATAAATAGAGCAAAACAAAACAACTATGAATAGAACCAACAGCGATTATCACTACATTTTTACTCGAGGGGAGAGTAACAAAAATCATTGTTTTATATAATAATGTAAAAACAGACTTTGCACCCGCCAATCTCCCATCCCTATTTTTTTCATTTCAGAGTACTCAAGTAAGCTTAATCTTACCTACTTTACATCACCATTCCCACTTCCTCTCTTATCTCTAGTGTTGTTATCTCAAATTCTCTCTCTTCAACTGCTCACCTCCTCCTGTTTCAATCTCTCATTTTCCTATCCTCTTCAACGAGTTGGGGATAGAGGGTTTTGAAGGAGGGGAGGAGAGACGAGATATGAACTGAGAGTGGGGGATAGAGGCCTTAGTAGAGTGGGGTGGAAGTGGACTGAGTTATGAGATGCCGCATAACGGGACTTTAGGCGGCTCAAAAGTCCCAAGTTGACACGTGGATGGTTATAACTATTATGGACCTCAAAGGGCGCCAAGAGAATGAGCCAAGGTGTTATGACCCAAAAGAGCCGAGTATACACTGATTGAGCCCAGCATCAAAGAGGACATGACTGCTCATTAATGACGACTTGAGTGATTGTGACAAAACTATTAATGAACCTCTGTGTTCTTAGGATCCGTAGAACCAATCATCATTGCAAAACATTAATTGTAATTAAGCCGACCTTTTATCCTCGACAAGATACGAAGTGCTTATTTCCGAACAATTAACGCTTAGACGTAAACTTCAAGCTTCAAGCACCAAGCCAAGACTCTTAAATGATCAGCAATAGGAAGTTAATGCTCCAGGGGGCCCCGAACACAGACTTATTCTCCCAAGGAGATTAATCTTGAGGGGATTTGATTAAATTGCACTCATTATGCTTGAATATGAGTGTCTACCATTAAATGCTGAAATAAGACTCACAAATCCCTTAATTATTATTAATTTGAGTATAAATACCCCCGAGTATAAATACCCTTGAGAAAAGTACACAAAACAAAACCCAAAAAATACATTGCACTCATGTTTCCAATGCCAACTTACTTAAGCTTTAAATGGTATTAGCCAGAGGTTCACCCGGCCCTTTCCTAACCTTTTTATTGTTTCAGGTTCATCATCCAGTGGGTCATTATCTCCATTCTGTAAAAATTCACCCGTGCACTGCAGTAGGGGGCGAGACCAGGAAGGTATAACTCCTGGTTGGTCTTTTATGTGTTCCTATCATGTGTCAATAAAGTTTCTCCCAACAGCATCTCAAATGAAACCCTTGGATCCTTAGCACCTAGTGTGTCTCCAATCATCGCAGGTTAAAGGATGAATTCCCATGGGCAGGCTCAGTAATCTTAGTCCTGTGATGTTTGTCCAATCCCAAATTATATGCAACTTTTATACTGACACCATGACATGTTTGAGAGCACCAAATTGATTATTGCATCTCAGCAATTGCATGTCCATGTTAGACCCACCATAAGAGAGTCACAAATGCGCCATAAAGTGCTTAGCATCCAGGAAGCAAACAGTAACTTTGTTATGCACATTATTCTAGAGGTGTCAAAAGTGTCGAATTAAACGGCTACATGTCGAGTTAAACAGATGACGGATGAAAAATATATAAACTCGTACACGACATATTTAATAAACATGTAACAAATTTCAACACGAACACAACTGTTTGATAAACGGATAACACGACACAACTCGTTTAACCCGTTTAATTTTAAAAAAATTATATTAACAAATTTTAATACTCCAATTTTTTTTATTGCCAATTGCACTTAACTCAAAAAAGAGAAATTTTTAACCAAATCTCATAAAAATAACACTTTGACTTAAAAATAAAAAAACAAGAAACCCTTGTTTTTTATAAGCAACTTAACCCTCCCCATCTCCCCCTCACTTTCCAATGTGGAACAAAAATAAAAAACATTGATTTACCTTCGTCTTTAAAATGTTCCTCTTCTCATCTCTTTTGTCTTTAAACTACTACTTAACTACTTTTTTTTTTTTTATTAATTTCTTCTTTTTTTTCTTACTAAATTTTTAAAATAATTATTAATTTATTATTATATTAATTTTATTTAAATAGATAAACGTGTAATAAACGATTTGACAAGTCTCACTCGAACACGACCCGTTTATTAAACGTTTTTAGCGTGTCAACTCATTTATCACCCAAACCCATTTAATTCGTGTCGATTAATCATGTCTTGTCAAATTTTAACAGCCCTACATTATTCAATCAATGAATTTGATTTTTACATCAATATCCTTGTCACAGTGGGCCATTAACATTCAGGCCCTCATCCCATTGGAATTTTTTGGGATATTTTAACAAAGGAATGATACCGTACCAAAGTGGCCTACATTTTTTAACTTGAACATACTAAATACTGTACCTGAAGTATTTGAGGCAGAAAGATTGTCCTTCACGTTTTTCTTGTCTATTTGCCATTTTATTTCGTGCCAATAGAAAGAACTTTGCTTTCAACAGCCACTACCCATTCCTGAATGATAGAATTCACCTCTTCCGGCCGCTCATCATGTGGACAATGGCCTGGAATATCAATACAATGCAACATAATCAAACCAATATAGGACAAATGAAAAGACACAAAGTTACCAGGAAAAAATCAAATTAAGCCATGACTACCCAGGATCCATTAAGATTACCGGCATCTAGTTCCCTGGCTACAATTCCTTTGCAATGCTCTCTAAGCATAGCCAATTTTGNAAAATCAAATTAAGCCATGACTACCCAGGATCCATTAAGATTACCGGCATCTAGTTCGCTGGCTACAATTCCTTTGCAATGCTCTCTAAGCATAGCCAATTTTAACTTGGAGTCAGACAGCGGATCTTTCATTCCCTAGTATAACAAAATTCAGTAAGGGATTGCAAGCACAAAAATTATTGAAGATCTAAGTCCTTAATTATCCTGCATGTAGAGATTTACCTGTATGACAAGAACTGCTTCGTCAAATCCTTTCAAAAGATAGTTAAGAGGAATTGAAAGATCAAAGCTAAAGATGCTTTCCAGAACCACTACCACACCAGGGTCATATGACTTTAAAATTAGTCAAGGCACTGAATTCGTTAATCTAAAATGGTCTGCTAGTCATACTAAAACTATCAAGATTGATGAATGCAATCACACAGATAACTTACATGTTGATCTGATGGTATGAAATAAGCCCCGAGATAGATCAAAGGTTCAAAACTCGGGACATGGGATTAACGATTTGTCACCCATCACATTGGAAAAGAATAACATGAACATGAAGGCAATTGAGTAATATATTTTCCTGAACAAGGATACTGCTCTCAACATCTCATTAGTAAGCCAATCATCAGCTCGATCTGTTTTCTGCATGGATAAATATAGAAACGACCAAAATATGACCACAAACATGGTGGAAACATTAATGTGAATAGCAGTTATTTATTGCACACTCACAAATGGGTAAAAGTTCTTCACAGTATTCCTTATTGTCGACCTCAAATAGAGTAGCAGGAGTCTAGCGCCCAACCATGCAGCCCCTGAGGTTTGCCTTTCCTGAAATATTTGTCAAACAATGCCTTCTAACTGATGGAATCATAGTACTAAGAAACTCCTCCTAAATGACAAATTCCACGAAGAAAATTCAAGCAAAGATAAAACAGTTGATAAGAGATGCAAGAAAGAATTCTAATAAGCTGAAAGCGCTTTCAGTTCTAGTGAAAAGTAGATTCAGAGAATGGTTCCACAAATCTCCCACAAAAAGATTTCTGACAATAAGTTTTGTGGAAAAAACACTAGCCATGAAAAGCTCATTCATCTCTTATAGTGTATTTATTGACAAATTATATAGTGAAGTACAATAGTGCATGCTTCATGCAATAGCACTAATCACTTTTACCTTGATCTGATATCATCTCTAATTAGGATCCATACATCTTTGGAGATAAGATTTAAAAGAAATAGAGTTAATAAGGTAATGCAATTATCAAAAAGTCTACACAGTAAGAAGCATCAAAATATTAGTTTAAATTCCAAGTCGTCTCATATCTTGCTTCTAATTATTTTGCTACACATTATTGCTCCAATCTGCTCTCACAATAGAAAAATAGAGGTAAATGCCTGAAAAATCAAGGATTTTCTTTATTTCATCATTCTTTCTGACATGTGTCCTATAGGATTTTATTTGATATTCCATTCTTCCAATAAACAAAGTAAGATTTCATAAATATTTCATTACTAGCAAACATAACTCATAAACAAATCATCCGCAGATACTGTTGCCTGATTACTGTTCAAAAAGAACGCAAAACTTATTTGTACAATAGTTTTTTCCACACCAAGGCAATAAGTTACGAGTTTGCTAGTCTAACAGGCCAATTGCAAAATATTATTTTGTCTTACTTGAGAGTAAGGCACAGAAGAATATCCTGGAACAACATTGCCAGCAGTGTTTATGAGGACAACAGACTTGGCTAATGCAGGCCAAAGACCAGCGACAATAGAAACAAAATAGCCTGGAACAAAGAAAACATATCAGATAACTTGAAAAAGTTTACAACAAAGCCAATAACTTATGATGAGGGGTAAGATAGAGATAAAATATTGTTAAGGCATGCAACCAAAAGTGGTGCCAGCACGTGTATCTGTAAATAGTTTTCCCCCTTTTAATTTCAATTTTTATTTTTTTTTGTGGGATGGGGTTTGAGAGTGGGGAGGTTCATACAATTCATAAGTGAAACATACCACCAATGGAGTTCCCAACAACATGCACCGGTTCCCCCACAACCTCAATTATGAAATCTCTGAGCAATTCAGCCCACATGAGTTCAGTGTAAACGACATTCGGTTTTTCTGATTTGCCAAATCCTAGAAGAGTGATGGCCCAAACTCGATTACCACCTTCGGCTATACTATTTATATTGTCACGATAGTGCTCCAAGAATGCACCAAAACCATGCACAAGTAGAATAGCGGCACCTTCATGACCAGCAACAGTATACTGTATAAGCAGAATTAACTCTAAGCAGAAGGTAACATTTACAATAATGAGATTAAATAAACCCACTTGTACAAAATATCAGTTCACACCACTCACCTGAATTAGATAACCATTCCATCTCCATATTCTAATAGGTATGGAGTATATTCCTTCATCAATTGTTTGACTTTTCAGAGCCATAAGCCAATACCACTGGGCAAAAAGCAGCCACTCATCAATCCAAATTACATATACAGATACCATACTTAAGCCAATAAGCCTTCCAGTATAGGTCACACAATATGACATCAATCAATCACAGAAAACTTGTGTATCATCAATATGGGGGAACAGTACCTCCATTGAGCAAACAGTGTCAACTGCTGCAATAACCGTGGCCGCTGAATATCCAAAGGGAGATAGAAATCCACCATTTCGTTCTTTCTCATACTTAATAGCTTCATAATGCACTCTCCTTCTAGAAATGATTCCGAGACAAAGGGCAGGCCCAAAGAGAGCACCAAATGAAGCTCCTTCCCGACTTTCAGTGTTGCGCAATTTTTCATGCATCCTGCAGTAATCATAAGGTAAAACGACATCAATCTTAGAAACAATTTGAAATCACTGTAAATAATTAGCTTCTGGATTGCTTTCATCCATAACAGTACAATGGATTTANTTCAGTGTTGCGCAATTTTTCATGCATCCTGCAGTAATCATAAGGTAAAACGACATCGATCTTAGAAACAATTTGAAATCACTGTAAATAATTAGCTTCTGGATTGCTTTCATCCATAACAGTACAATGGATTTAAGCATGAAAGCAAAAATCAAATGTGAGTATTACAGAGATGAGACATAAAGTAAAGAAGTGGATCCTAAAAATCCCTCCAAAACCAAACAGGATTTGAAAAGGGAAAAGAAAATAAAATCAACAAAGGTCAGATTGATGTGACACCACATACTCCTGCCAGTCATCTCGGGAGGTACCCTCCAAGTATCTTAAATATGCAGCCAACCCATTGAGCACAAGGTTTGTCCCACCTCCCACCATATTCCCTTGTTGCGTTAAGAACACTGATGTTTTTGGTCTCCTGGTCTGGGCATGCTTGTAATTTGAATTTTTTTTATTGCTTTTTCCTGACTTCGATATCTCCAAGCCTTCAATCAGGTGAACAGGAGCTGCAACTTGATATTTCTGCAATGAATTTTGAACTGAAACCTTCTTTGTTGAAGTCCACTTATTTTTCAATTCGACCGGATGATCATCCAAAAATTTCTTCAAATCCTTTAGTGTGGGTAAAGGACCTGATTAATAAAGCAACTATCATTTTCCCATGTCCTAATCAAAACCACATAAAACAAACTATAAGAAATCACAATCAATTTTAGAAGAAGATATAAACTTACCCCAGGCCAAATCAATCTCTAAGTCAGGCAATTTTTCTGGGAAAAGAGGTACAACTACAGGTAACTTCAGTTTCTTGAAGTCACGGTGTGAAGCTGGTAGGTCCTTCAAGTTCTATATAATATTACATAGATAAGCATGAATTGATCACACACCATGGGCTTGTGATCTGAATCCAGATAAGCATAAAATGGTAGTATGAAAGAAAAAAATACCTTAATATCATAAAATGGAGTGTTCCATATTACAATTCTTGGGCCCGCTTCGGCAGTAGATGCTGTTGTTAAGGTCTCTTTAACAATATCCATCATTCCGCATAAATTGTACTCCACCTCCTCTTCTGCAAATATGGTGGTAGCCTTGACCTGTTCCAACCCTTGGTGATGAGTGTAACAAAATGAGTTGAACAGTCCTTGAAGTTCTCCTCATTCCTGGCCAGTTAAATATCAGAATAAGCAAACCTCATGTGTAACAACCTCTGTTATAAGTTCTTGTATGACACTTTCTGCACTCCCGAACCTGATCATTAGATTACACCCTTGATCCTTTAATGACTTTCTTAAATCCTTGATGGTAAAAAGGAGCAGTTCAAGCATTTCATCACAAAAGCCTGCATCAATTAGGACAAGATTAAAATATATGAGTACCATAGTTGTTAAACCGTATATCGGAAGGCGTATCGTTTTTTAAAAATAGTGTATCGTATCGTGTATCGTAAGATACGCACAATTTTAATTTTTAAATAATTATTAATAAAATATATGTATGTACCTTTGTAAAAAAGTTATAAACTCATAAATTCATAATAACATAACATTTCATTAATATTTCACTAACTATTCAAGTTCCCAACATAGTTCAGTACTATCAAAATACAAATATCTCTAATCCAAACTTCTAACACCAATTGGTTTAACAACCTTAATGTTAATCAAAAATTTTGAATTCAATTGAACAACATTAAAAACAGACTTTATTTATTTTTTTTAAACCATAACCATTAAAACAACATTGTTTCACTGGCTAGTACTTTAAAAATAAGTTTTAGGATAAAACGATGTCATTTCAATCCCAAAAAACCAAAAAATAAAAATAAAAAAAAACAGAATCGTCATATATTGGGCGTATCGTATTATGTATCGTACGATATAGTGCAAAAACGATACAAAGACACGATACGTATCGTTTTTCGGGTGTATTGTAATGTATCGTACGATACTAATAACTATGATGAGTACTCATTAAAGAATAAGGACAAAATGATACATGAAACACTTCAAGGCGAAACAAATCCATGTACTAACATTGATCAAATCTATATCAAATACAGTAATCAAATGAAACGATATCTATTCACTCCATATGCCTCTCATATCACATTCCAACCTAATCAAATCCTTCTACCAACAGTATCCAGCATGCTCACTCTGTAATTAAAGTATGCTGCCAAGGTGCAAAGACTTAGTTAACAACTTTTGTTTGCATTGTGAATCTAATTTCATTTCTTATAATGCCTCTCACACGTCCTATCCTTTCCCAAATCGAACATTTTGACTCTTTCACAACATTACCTGCTAAAACAGTATCACATTTTGACCTCTGCAAAATTTTACAATGACAAATAGTTTAAGCAAACTGTTCTCTTACGACCCAGGCAGTGAAAGTTCCTAACTTAGATGCCTCTTCAACCACCACACAAATGTTCCAGGCATTGACTCAGTATCACCTTGGGAAAGATTGTTTCAGCGTAGGGCAGAGCACAGTTGTTGGCATTCATGACGATCTTAATTTAGGAGCTAATTTAATGTACTTTAATAGGCAATTCATCTCTCTACATCAGGTGCATTTCAGGACTCGACAGGTTTCTTATGATTTTGTGTTTTGCATTCTTTGTAAGTGTGCATGATTACATCTCACCTTCATACGAATAGTACTTCCATTGAACCCAATGACTCCGACAAATAACTGAAGACACCCAACCAATAGAGAACTGAAGGAATTGAAGACAACATTAATTCAACTTTNGTTGTTAAACCGTATATCGGAAGGCGTATCGTTTTTTAAAAATAGTGTATCGTATCGTATCGTGTATCGTAAGATACGCACAATTTTAATTTTTAAATAACTATTAATAAAATATATGTATANTTCATGCATCCTGCAGTAATCATAAGGTAAAACGACATCGATCTTAGAAACAATTTGAAATCACTGTAAATAATTAGCTTCTGGATTGCTTTCATCCATAACAGTACAATGGATTTGAGCATGAAAGCAAAAATCAAATGTGAGTATTACAGAGATGAGACATAAAGTAAAGAAGTGGATCCTAAAAATCCCTCCAAAACCAAACAGGATTTGAAAAGGGAAAAGAAAATAAAATCAACAAAGGTCAGATTGATGTGACACCACATACTCCTGCCAGTCATCTCGGGAGGTACCCTCCAAGTATCTTAAATATGCAGCCAACCCATTGAGCACAAGGTTTGTCCCACCTCCCACCATATTCCCTTGTTGCGTTAAGAACACTGATGTTTTTGGTCTCCTGGTCTGGGCATGCTTGTAATTTGAATTTTTTTTATTGCTTTTTCCTGACTTCGATATCTCCAAGCCTTCAATCAGGTGAACAGGAGCTGCAACTTGATATTTCTGCAATGAATTTTGAACTGAAACCTTCTTTGTTGAAGTCCACTTATTTTTCAATTCGACCGGATGATCATCCAAAAATTTCTTCAAATCCTTTAGTGTGGGTAAAGGACCTGATTAATAAAGCAACTATCATTTTCCCATGTCCTAATCAAAACCACATAAAACAAACTATAAGAAATCACAATCAATTTTAGAAGAAGATATAAACTTACCCCAGGCCAAATCAATCTCTAAGTCAGGCAATTTTTCTGGGAAAAGAGGTACAACTACAGGTAACTTCAGTTTCTTGAAGTCACGGTGTGAAGCTGGTAGGTCCTTCAAGTTCTATATAATATTACATAGATAAGCATGAATTGATCACACACCATGGGCTTGTGATCTGAATCCAGATAAGCATAAAATGGTAGTATGAAAGAAAAAAATACCTTAATATCATAAAATGGAGTGTTCCATATTACAATTCTTGGGCCCGCTTCGGCAGTAGATGCTGTTGTTAAGGTCTCTTTAACAATATCCATCATTCCGCATAAATTGTACTCCACCTCCTCTTCTGCAAATATGGTGGTAGCCTTGACCTGTTCCAACCCTTGGTGATGAGTGTAACAAAATGAGTTGAACAGTCCTTCAAGTTCTCCTCATTCCTGGCCAGTTAAATATCAGAATAAGCAAACCTCATGTGTAACAACCTCTGTTATAAGTTCTTGTATGACACTTTCTGCACTCCCGAACCTGATCATTAGATTACACCCTTGATCCTTTAATGACTTTCTTAAATCCTTGATGGTAAAAAGGAGCAGTTCAAGCATTTCATCACAAAAGCCTGCATCAATTAGGACAAGATTAAAATATATGAGTACCATAGTTGTTAAACCGTATATCGGAAGGCGTATCGTTTTTTAAAAATAGTGTATCGTATCGTGTATCGTAAGATACGCACAATTTTAATTTTTAAATAATTATTAATAAAATATATGTATGTACCTTTGTAAAAAAGTTATAAACTCATAAATTCATAATAACATAACATTTCATTAATATTTCACTAACTATTCAAGTTCCCAACATAGTTCAGTACTATCAAAATACAAATATCTCTAATCCAAACTTCTAACACCAATTGGTTTAACAACCTTAATGTTAATCAAAAATTTTGAATTCAATTGAACAACATTAAAAACAGACTTTATTTATTTTTTTTAAACCATAACCATTAAAACAACATTGTTTCACTGGCTAGTACTTTAAAAATAAGTTTTAGGATAAAACGATGTCATTTCAATCCCAAAAAACCAAAAAATAAAAATAAAAAAAAACAGAATCGTCATATATTGGGCGTATCGTATTATGTATCGTACGATATAGTGCAAAAACGATACAAAGACACGATACGTATCGTTTTTCGGGTGTATTGTAATGTATCGTACGATACTAATAACTATGATGAGTACTCATTAAAGAATAAGGACAAAATGATACATGAAACACTTCAAGGCGAAACAAATCCATGTACTAACATTGATCAAATCTATATCAAATACAGTAATCAAATGAAACGATATCTATTCACTCCATATGCCTCTCATATCACATTCCAACCTAATCAAATCCTTCTACCAACAGTATCCAGCATGCTCACTCTGTAATTAAAGTATGCTGCCAAGGTGCAAAGACTTAGTTAACAACTTTTGTTTGCATTGTGAATCTAATTTCATTTCTTATAATGCCTCTCACACGTCCTATCCTTTCCCAAATCGAACATTTTGACTCTTTCACAACATTACCTGCTAAAACAGTATCACATTTTGACCTCTGCAAAATTTTACAATGACAAATAGTTTAAGCAAACTGTTCTCTTACGACCCAGGCAGTGAAAGTTCCTAACTTAGATGCCTCTTCAACCACCACACAAATGTTCCAGGCATTGACTCAGTATCACCTTGGGAAAGATTGTTTCAGCGTAGGGCAGAGCACAGTTGTTGGCATTCATGACGATCTTAATTTAGGAGCTAATTTAATGTACTTTAATAGGCAATTCATCTCTCTACATCAGGTGCATTTCAGGACTCGACAGGTTTCTTATGATTTTGTGTTTTGCATTCTTTGTAAGTGTGCATGATTACATCTCACCTTCATACGAATAGTACTTCCATTGAACCCAATGACTCCGACAAATAACTGAAGACACCCAACCAATAGAGAACTGAAGGAATTGAAGACAACATTAATTCAACTTCCAACTCCTTCGCTTGCAAACACTGACTTCGTGGCTTGAAATAGGGATTGGAGTCCACATTAGTTCTGTTCCAAATCCAAGGCAGATATTTGTACTGCTAAACATAGTATAAATCCTCTATTTTATTGCAAGTACAACCCACTATAGTTTTGTGTGAGTGCGTGTGTTTAAATCTTCTAATTTTGTGGTGTGAAGGAAAATGTTGTGCAATATTCATATGTATATGGGGACATACTTCTGTACTGGTTTCCCGTTCNATACCTTTGTAAAAAAGTTATAAACTCATAAATTCATAATAACATAACATTTCATTAATATTTCACTAACTATTCAAGTTCCCAACATAGTTCAGTACTATCAAAATACAAATATCTCTAATCCAAACTTCTAACACCAATTGGTTTAACAACCTTAATGTTAATCAAAAATTTTGAATTCAATTGAACAACATTAAAAACAGACTTTATTTATTTTTTTTAAACCATAACCATTAAAACAACATTGTTTCACTGGCTAGTACTTTAAAAATAAGTTTTAGGATAAAACGATGTCATTTCAATCCCAAAAAACCAAAAAACCAAAAAATAAAAATAAAAAAAATAGAATCGTCATATATCGGGCGTATCGTACGTATCGTATTATGTATCGTACGATATGGTGCAAAAACGATACAAAGACACGATACGTATCGTTTTTCGGGTGTATTGTGATGTATCGTACGATACTAATAACTATGATGAGTACTCATTAAAGAATAAGGACAAAATGATACATGAAACACTTCAAGGTGAAACAAATCCATGTACTAACATTGATCAAATCTATATCAAATACAGTAATCAAATGAAACGATATCTATTCACTCCATATGANCTGTGTTCTCTCCCGCACCTGATTTTGTTCTCCCTGGCATCGACATTTTCAATGCAGAAGAAGAACAGTGAAGTCGAGTTCTTGAATGACAGCTAGTGTGTTTTGGCGAGAAAGAGAATGAGTAAAAGCGCGGGAAAACAAGAAGCGCCATGAAGATGAAAGACAAATAAGAGGAGGATGAGGAGATGAGAATGGAGGTTAGGGTTTGAGTGGAGCTCGCAATCCATTGACAGATGGATATATATGAAATATCGAAGGGTTTTACATGGTTCTGAGGCCAGAGAGAGAGAGAGAGAGAGAGGGGATTGTGGTGGAGAAAATTTAGGTGAATTTCTAGAGAGAGAGAGAGATACTTGAGGACAAGAGCGCACCACGGCGATGGTTTTCAGTTTTCTTACTCGAGTTGAGATTGGTCAGTAAACGCCGGTCGTCGCCACACTAAGACGGGTCAAACCAGATGCATACGACGTCGTCTCATTTCGGTGAAGTCCCTTCCCATGCTATCCCACTCAAAATGTCAGAATTTACTGCTCGCGCCATTTTATTATTTGAGCTATGCTAATTTTATTTTCTCTTAACTAGTACCATATATGTCTTTCTTTTACAAATTAGGCCCCACACATTAACAACCTAATTTATCTATACCACACTACTAATAAAAGTAACTTAAATGAAAAAAAAAATTATTTTTTTATTTATCTTTCAGTAATTTTATAATTTCTACTTTATCCTTTTTAAAGTGATTCAAGAGAAAAAAAAATATATTTTCATATTTATCCTTAAAAAATTCTATAATGTCTACTTTATTCTTTTTTGATAATTTTTTAATTTTTTTATTAGTTGTATTAATTCAACTAATAAATTCATTATTTGACTTTTAATTATCTTCTTTTCAAAATAATATAAATTTGATCCAAATCTAATTTGAAAAATGTGATTCAAATTCAATTCAATTATCTAACGAATTTTTTTTTTCACAACGCATATATGAATCCATAAAAATAAATTTTGTTCTGATCCGAATAAGTTGATTAGAGATGATTTTAACATTTAGCACGTGAATTTCTCCTCAATTTTATTAAAGAATTATCAAATTACATCGTATGTTTGTAGATACATGTTGCATATCCAACTTCTTTGAAAAATAAATCTTTGAATAGATTTAATAATTTTATATACTATTTTCGAATGTTAATACTTGTTAAAAAAATAATTGATTCTTTCCGAAGTTAAACATTACAGTTTTAAATGTAATATAATTCACTTTTTATTTTATTTTATGTAATTCAGTTCATATAACTTAAAAAAGGAAAAAAATCTTAAGCATAACAGTTATCCTACATTAGCAATGTCACTTTGTATATTATTTATTAACAAGTGAACAATTAAGTCTCATAAAATTCAATAACCATCATATAAATATATAATCATTTCCATATAAATAAAATTAGTTCAATTTATCTATTTTTTTTATTAAAAAAAAAAGTTGAAATAATTAGCGTGCAACGCACGCTTGCACCAACTAGTATAACATAAGGGGCACATGATACCATACCACTTGAAAAGATGAAATATAAAATTTAATCTTTAAAAAAGGTTAATTTATAGCATTACTAAAAAGTTTCATTAATCTAGAAAAATCTCAAAAAAAAAACTCAATATAATCAACAATAAATTATGATTACTACATAATCTCTAGTACAGTAGTACTAACAATAACGGCAAAATCATAAATAAATATATATCAATTAAACCAGCTTAAGTTTTCAAATAATATGTCAGTCATATCTTTGGATTAATATATCAACAACAAACACATGATTACTACATAATCTCAACATACTAACAATAACCACACACACACACACACACACACACACACACATATATATATATATATATATATCCATTAAACCATCTTAAGTCCTTGATGTTGGTGTCTAATGGTATCCAAAATATGCCTAAAGTTGAGTTCGGATATTCAGATCGGGCTTCCAAGTGCAGGTCATTCAGCCCATCATGGATGACTAGAGAATTTGAGGTCGGTACCTCTTCCCCAGCAATTGCACCTCTATAGAAATATTACAGAAGATAGTTGATTTTCACTCAAGTATCACGCACAACGTAACGGTCATATATTTGAACATAAAGTCATACCTGTGTCAACGATGTTCAACCTAATTGCAAAAAAAGGGCAACTAGTATAAGAAGAAGGCAAAGATCACGCACAAGATCATGCAAGGCCTCTAAAAGCTATAAATAAGAGATATATCCCTCACATCAGAAGAGAAACAACTAATCTAATCAAATACCATGTGTAATCTTCTCCTCACTATCAATAAAATAGTTTTCGGGAGCAAGAGACTTTCTTAAGAATGAATTAACCCAGTTTCTGAATTAATGAACTGCTATAAACATTTTGAGTACCATCTTCGTCTCGCTTAGCTCATATTAGCATAATTTTATTTGAGTAACTGTTGGTGTTGCGTCAGTAATTGAAATTTTATGTGCTTAATTCATGAATAAAACACAAACAAACTAAGCAGAATTGGAGCTAATTCTCCTCTCGTCTTCTACCTCTAGTTTTGCCACCACCCTAGAGACACCATCTTCTTTGTATTCCACACACCCTTCCTTCACTCCGCCACCAAAGCCTACTTTCCTCTCCATCAGATCTCAAGGCTCTTCCATAGAACCTCCAAAACCCACAATTTCAAGACAAGACACGGATGGCACCTCTGCCATTTTTGCCCCACCACCTAATAAACCCGACTCAGCTGTCCTTGGTTTTGTCTCTTCATCTTCGTCATCTGCTAAATAACATGCCAACCAGTGACTACCAAGAAGAAAACGGAGAGAGATAAGAAAGAAAGGGCATCCATAATTCGCCGAGCATGGCTACAAAAACCTAGCTTTCTCTCACAAAACAAAGAGGCTCAGGCGAAGGAGCAGAGTTGGAATGAGAGCGTTTTCTTCTTGCTTAGTTTGGGCTCGGCGTGCTTATTCTCGTATTGGGTATTGTTCTTGCAGCATCAGGTATAATCACCAAGTCCTCATTTGTTATGGTCCGAATTTTGTGCTTGAATTTGTGGGGAATTGATGATTTTTTCTGTTGTTTCGTGATTTTTTCTGCATATGTATTGCTTTGTGATTTGTATTGGAACAAAAGTTTATTTTTATGTCAACTGCTTGATAGAAGGTAGTGTATGACATATACCTAGTTTGGGACATTGATTACCAATTTACCCCGAATATATCATGTCTACATTTCTATCAAATATTTAGGTCGGATGGGCTGGAGTAAAATTATTTCCATTTGTTTGGATTCAAGGGACGCCTCCATCGGCATCCTACGTACTAACGACTGATTTGGTTTAATGTCCATGGGCACCCTAATCACGGGGCATTTTGTAGTCATATCCTAGAGGTTAATTTGACCATCAGCCCAAAGGATTATAAGATCTGGAGATTGGTTCCTATCGAGAAGTATCGTTTGTAATTGAATAGTTTGTTTACTATATGGCAGTGACATGATAATGGAATATGGTTTAGTTGTTACCTGATTCAGAGTAGAGGAAAAGCAAATTGTTTGGGGTGAATGACTGTGCAATTTTCTACAGTAGATAGACAAGGCAAAAAGAATGAATTTCTTTTACCACCACTAACTTTTCCCCCTAGCATGCAATATTGAAGTGGCCTTTCAAAAAATTTATGTGGTTTGTGTTTTAAGCAAGTGTTTGGTGTTATGGCCATCAGGCATATTTGGTCATGTGATGTTGTTTGACCTGTTTTTTTCATCTTCAAGAGGATCTATTAGAAAGCTTGGCTAAATAATTACCTCCATAGGCAAGTTTAATTTATCCCACCAAGCAAGAATGTGCAATCAAGCTAATTCCAACCAAAGGGTATGCAAAAAGATAAAATTCGTCAACCATGATACATTACTCCCTAATGATAGTGATGGAAACAACNCAATTTTATACTATCACTCGGAGGTCGATTAAAAAAATTTAGAACCGTTGGCAAGGACAAATAACTGCAAAGTCGGTCCTTATTACTAGTTTATTACTCTGGTGTAAGTTTGTCAGGTAAATCTATTGGGACTTGCCATTCCAAGCTCTTCCCTACTCCATTTGTGACATTTTATGCATAATCATGTCTTTTATTCTAAGGTAACATAAACTATTGTCGTCACATGATCATTATAAATTACAGTACATCCTGAAAAAAGTTTCCCAATTAACCAGCAGAGGTCTGACAGAAATTCAATTGTTTTCGTGCACCAATTCTTACCTCTTCCTTAAATTAAGGACCAGACTCTACCATACTCCATTAAACCCCACTCCCATACTAAATTAATGATATCTCGTACATTACTACCTTCCAATTTTAATGCAATTTATGCGTTCAACGAGCTTTCTTGCTTTTCTGTTCCAATCAATTAATTCATTTTTTGGTTATCAAATACTACAAAAATGATTAGATTTGAATCCGTAAACTTAAGGTTCAACAACGAAACTAGTGATTATTAGATTAATCTTTCAACTCAATCAATTAATTCATTGGCTGGAAAAATATTTAGTGTTGGCACGTTATGACCCAAAGGTGACAGTGAACAACAAAATCACCGATCCAAATTTGAAAATAAAGAAATTTTAATCATCACTCAAGATAATGATTAAATGATATTATCCTTATGTTGTGCGAACATTCACTCGTATTCTATTTTGAATCTTATTTAATCATAGTGTGTGGTAAATGTAAAATATTTTAGTTATTTTTTATTTATAATTTTATTTATACTATTAATAAAAAGATAAAAAGTTTAATGATCACCCTAAAAATGTTTTATAATACCTTCTTTTGTCAAATATTTACTAATAACTCTTTTTTTTTAACTCCACTGCACCTCTTTTTATTAATGAAACATCAATTTCCCCAATAAAAGAGGCCTTTATTGATAGTTTTGAGACCCCCATACATGACCCTTTAAAGTGTCGATATAGACTCAAAAGAAAGTATTTCCTCAAATAAAGTAAAAAAAAAATTCAACTCTAATTTCTCTCTTTACTAAGAAAATCTCCAATAATATTATTTATTTTAAAATACATGTTTCTCAATTCTAATGTAATAGTAACTTTTATAGTCTAAGTATTTAATCAAAAAAGTATAGATGTTATTTTTTCATTCATCAGAAGTAAAAACAAGAGCGAGTTCGACAATCCTTAGGGGTGGTTGAGTATGACTTTTGATAATTAAAAAGTTTTAGGTTCAATTACTTTTCACACCTTCTTAAGGATTAGCCACTCTTATTCCTCTAAGAGCATGATCTAACTTAACTCAAATTATGGTGATAAACCGCTAAACTTAAATGAATAGTCAATATAAACTTAAACACTCAATAAAAAAAAAAAAAAAAGATTGAATTCGACTCTACAAATATAGAGAGTTGCGTATATAGTGGATATGCTCTAGCCATGTATATACAACATCTAGTATAAATTAAATCACCAACACCTACACTTTACTAAGAATCCTATTATGGTACTTAAATTTTATTTTATTTCCTATCATTCATCTAATTTTTATCTAATAAGATTTTTTTATTTTTTATTTTATTAATTTATCATATTTTAATTACTAATTATAAACCATTTGATTTCAAATTAATAAGGGTAAATTACATTGACACCCCCTGAACTTTGTCATTAAAATACATAGACCCCTTCAAGTATGACATATTAACAATGACACCCTCTATCAGTCCCAGTCGACTAACACACCTAACGAAAGTTTTAAAAGAACTATTTTACCCTTATTCAAAATAAATAATTAGTCTGGACCAAACACAATACCATACTCAACCTGAAACCCATACCCAACCCTACTCGTATTTTGCCCTTGCATTTACTCCTCTATCATTTCTCTGTGTTCTATCATTAACAGGCCACCGTAGAACCTCTCCCCTTTATCTTTGTCCTCTGTCCACTACCCACCACCAACCCTTTCTCTATATATCTTTCTCTCTTTGTGTTATATTGCTAACTGCTCGTTGGTGGTTGGGTAAATGGTGGGCAATGAGAGGAGAAGGGTGGTGGCTGGATAAACGGCGGTGACAGGAAGTGTTTAACAAAGAGTTAGGGTTGATGAATTCTTAAATTTAAGGGAATTTCGAATTGGGAGATTTTGGGATTTGAGTTTGGGTGTAGCATAGAGAAATGAAGAAATCCATACTTGTGATGGGTGATAGTGATGACGATGGTGCTAGTGGAGGTGGTGTTGATGGTAATTGTTGCTCTGGTGTGGTGGTGTTGTTGTGGTGGTTCTGGGCTGTGATTTTGGTGTGGCGGTATTTGTGGTGGTGGTTCTGGATTTGACGGTGTTATAGTAGAAAAAAAGAGGAAAATTGGTGGTGGTTGTGGCTCTGGTGTGGCGGGTGTTATAGTGGTGGTTCTAGGTTATGGCTTTGGTATGGTGGTGGTGATGGTTCTGGGCTATGGCTTTGGTGTGGTGATATTTGTGGTGACGGTTCTGGCACTGACGGTGTTGTGATAAAAGGAGAGAGGAGAGTCGATGGTGGATGTGGGTTTGGATATTTCGGTTTTAATTGAAAATTAAAAATTATTAATTTTTATTGAATTTTTGTTGAAATGGTGATAGGGTATTTTGGGAATTGTATATAAAAATGATACAAATGTCATCAAATTTAAACGGTATGTTTAACTGACCTTGATGGTAAGGGTGCTACATGTTACACGCGCACATACTTTAAAGGGATTTAGTGTAATTTTTTAAATGTAAGGGTTTGTCTGTTCAAGTGATAAACTTTAGGGACCTGAATATAATTTATCGAATTAATAATTGAGATGAACAGAAATAGGGTAGTAAAGTCGCTAAGTAGCCCCTTATCGCTTGACGCAGACATGGTACCACGGGAATATGTATCCACAAAAGGACAAAGTGGAAGGCAGATGTTGTCACACTGAGAGAAAGTTGAGTGGGATGGGGTATGATTGTGTGTGGATATAATCACGGAGTGAATGGCGCGGCCCCTAATTATGAACAGGGAAAGAAAGAGCCATCGGACAGCTGAGATGGAGAGCGAGCGAGTGTGGGGTCCCCCAAAATTGAACTCCAAATTTGGCCCTGTGGACCCCACATCACCACAGGGTTTCGTGGGTGGGTTCTCTTTTTGTGGATTTATGGGTTCTCTTTTTGTGGATTTATGTGGTCACTCACGCGCACACACACACTATTTCACACCCTCACAGTCACACATCGCTTTTATTACCACTTTTTGGCGACACGAATCAAAACCACCCCCCCACGCGTGCGCTAACTTGTCACATTTTTTTAAACATTTCTCACTCGCTTCTAGTCGCGTTAACTTTGGGTTACATGTTCAGCAGTGAATATTGTGTGTAACGATAATTTTTTTTTTGTTTTTGGTTACTAAGTATGTAAGTTTGCATCGATTATTCTTTTAAATTTTGAATTGATCATTGTAATTTAAGTTAATATTTGTTATCATAATTCAAACTAATTTAAAGATACGTTCTCTACAAAATAAAAGTGATTGAACCTTAGAAAGTGTAAAAAATATTAAACTTGAAACTCGTTAATTACAACAAGACATATTTTATTAGACCATCCTAAGAGTTGGTGTTACGAGAATATTGCATAATATTAAATGTAACTATGATTTTACATGATAATGATTACATAGTATAATTGTTTAGAGCTAATAATAGAGTCAAACTACTTGAATTTAGTTCAAATTTGACTCGAGTTGAATTTGAATAATTTTTTTAAAGGTTTGATTCAAGTTCACAAAATTTGATTCATTTATATGTAAAAAACTTAGAATCTGGCTCGTTTTAGATTAGTTTCGGATTCAACTTGAACAGAGATTAAATAATTTTTTAAATTTATTTTAAAAAAATAAGTTCGCAGAGTTCTAGGGGATTATCAATTTGAAAGACTGTTACACCGAATATTACTTGACAATTCATACCTTCCGCATGAGCGCGTGAGATTCTGTGTCGTGATAGGTCAGGTGGCAGCAGGTGAAAAGTGGGATCCAAAATAGGGGCAAACAAAATTGGACTATAGCACTGGCCCATAATTATCCTACGGAGGGCCTGGCCTGTATGTTCATCCTCGACGTATGATGAAGAATCAATTAGTACAAATGATACTTTGTATACGAAAATTTTTGATATTCTCAATTTACCCTCTAAAAAATTAAAAAATTTACATTGTAACCTAAATCAAATAAATAGGTAAGAATGTATACTATTTTAAGGAAATTGCGTACAAAATTTTCATTCAATAACATGTAAATATGAATTATATGTACGTAATTATTTGTAAAAATAGGGCAATATGAAAACTTTATTCTTTCATATGTAACTTAAAAATATGAGAATTTTTAAAAGTACAAAAGATCATTAACCATGAGATTATAGCATGAGTTATTTAGATTTGCTCGTGCTATTTGTGAATAAACTTAAATCGCAGTAATCTAATTTAAAAATGCGACATTGTGTGTTATATTGTAGACGGGTCGTATTTCAATTTGATTTTAAAATGATTTAATAAAATATTTTAAAAATAATTTGGTTATATTTAATGGAGACTAATGGAGACACAAGTTAGAAAAAAATGATAAAATTTCTCTTAATGATATTAGTAGTAAAAATAAATTTAAATTAACATTAAACGAAATAATAAGAATAAATATTAAATTATTTAATTTGAATGAACGTATAGCGCATAAACAAAATAAATGAAGAAGACAGACTCATATAGTCAAACCCAAATGATTGAAACATAAGACTTACTTTTGATTGGTTGTTTGGTATTTAAGGCTTATAATTGAGAAATTATTTTAGGCTTATTCCATTAGATTAGAGGATTGGATTGATAGACATAATTGGAAGTCCATGGACAACTGAACTAATAAATAGGACAAGGCCATTCAGACGTATGTGAATAGTGGATTTGTGGGATATTTTGGGATAACACGTTTATTTTTAAAATTCAATTCAATTAGGAAACTATAGTTTTTTGAATGGTGAAGTTCATCTTCAAATTTGTAGAGTTAAGAGGTGTTTAAATCAATTTATGCAAATCTCAATTAATCTCTTTTCCAGTCTAATCAAAGTCAGACAATTAACACCAAAATTATGATATTTATGAGGGATTTATCCCTCATGGTCTTATTCCAAGAGATTGACAGGATTCGAATTTAAGACGTCTAAATTTACAGTTCGTCCATGTTATCTCTTGAACTACCCTTTGAAATTTATACCAATTAGTTATTCGTGGATCATACAGATGCCCAATTATTTGAGCTACAAAATTATTATAAATTTTGGTCTAGGAAAACATTTTTCAATTCAAACGTTTCTCAATTGTTTGAGAACCATTTCTCAAACCCCTCAGTTCATTTATGCTAAGGGATAAGTTTAATTCTGTTTGGTTGTCTAGCTTCCATGGAACATGAAGGACAAATTTTGGGGAAAAGAAAAAAGTTTCTCACTATTACAGAAGGAGACCAGGATTTTGTATTTTTTCTCCTTTTGTCCTTCGATTTTTCTTCCCTTTGTCAGTTTTTCAGTTAATCAGACAAAGAGCAAATCAATTTCTATATAATGTTGTGTCCTTTTCTTTCGGTTCTCCTTAATCAACAACGCAGACAGCGCCCAAGGTTTTGCCTGAATGCCAAACAAGCATTATCATCCATGACAAAGCTTAGCAGATTGTCCATTCAGGATAGTATAGAGGCATATGTAATGAGAACTTTGATTTCTTGTAATAATCAATTATTTGTTTTCTATTTCAGATTTGGAGTGTCTTTATACCAAAAATTATTAAAATTTAGGGGTGACATATGAAAATAATTCGACAATCATGAAAGAGTCTGTTCACCAATGAGCATTTGGTTCAATAGTATTCTTTATCTTGTAAAGTCTCTGCCTTTTTAAGATCAATGGTTCAAACCTCCTTCTCCCTCACCCACCCCCAAAAAAAAGGACAAAGAAAAAAAAATTAAAGAGTCTCTTAGAGTTCACACTTAATAAGGAAGTGAGATTTTAAGAATTCCAAAAAACAAAGAAAACGTGACATCATGAATCGTTAGTTGGAGACAATTCGATGCATATCTACACATCTCGATGGGAGAGGCTATGATTATAGTCATGGCTGAAAAATATAATTTCGACGATTGAAAGTCATTTACTATAAATAACAAAGGTAAAACTATGAAGAAGAAATCGTTGATCAAACACAACAATTCTATATAGAATTGGACTCTCCGCTACTTACTTATTTTTTTTCTTCTCAACAACTTTACTGTAAAATTGTAATTATCACTTTAGTGATCTTTACCCTTTTTTGGTTTAATATTAAGTACAATAATCTTTTCATCTTTCGAGATTAGTTTCTTTGCTATTTTAAATTTCAATTGTTTTTTTATGTTCCAGTCAATTACGTTACAAAGTGGAAAATTAGTTATGTTCTTGACTCAAAAGGTATAGAAAAAAATTTAGAGGTAACCTCACATGTGGTTACATTAGTCTGAAAAGTCACGATTTTAGAACCCTACATTAATTTGAATAAATAAAGTCGTACGTGTTTAAATTTTGACACGCCTATAATCTAAAAATACGCCAAATAAATTATAATTTGATATCGGCAAAAATACATTCTATTATAACCCCATGCGTTCTAGTTGATGAAAAAAATGACGTCAATTATACTGATCTGTCTTAAAACCATATTCACTTTGCTTCATTGTCTGCGAAAAATTCACTTACGATCTTCCCGTAAGATCTGGCAAGTGTTCACATTTCAAATTAGAAACTTGAAAAGCCTTTTACATTTCAAATAAACGTGAAATGAATGAATTAATGTGTTTTATTAATAAAAATTAATAGAATATACCAATTTAATCATTTGTATTAATTTAATTCGACAACTCTCCATCTTTCTGATCTCGGGAAAGTCATTCTCCCTCTTACTGAACTACTGACGGGAAATGGACGTGAACATGATTATTGATTCAACGACATATTTTGTATGGTATAATAATTGTTAGTAAAAGCCATAATGTTGACGTTACTTGATTTAACAAAAGCTTACACCCAAATAGTTTAATGGGAATCATTAAAGAGACCATCAAGAAACAGGATAACCAGCCGAAAGAAACCTTAATCATATTACTTCTACTTTAGCCGAATTTCACATATCAATTTATTGTTGATTGACATGAATAACTAAAGATTATAATTGTCATTTTTTTTTAGCAAAGTTATGTTGATGCTTTCTTAATACAAATCCTTTTCATTGGGAACTACTTTGTTTTATCTTATCCAATTTGACCCCACCGGTCACACTTTGTCTTGCTCATTATTTTGTTTGTGGGTAATTTTTTGAGGTGGGTAAAATATTTTCAGTGGAGGTGCCCGGAATGAAACACAACACGACTAATTAATATGAATAATATATGAATCGAATTAATATTAGATGTGCGAGAAAATTTTTGTACAAGGAATCATCACCTTGTACAGCCAAAGATGATAGTGAAAAAACTCTGAGTAACATGTAAGACAAGAGAAAATTTAGGTGAATCGATAGTTGGAGGTGACCAAAGGGACTCCGATGCTTAAGTCAGATTGTAAGTTAAACAAGAATATAAAGTGAATAGATTATGATTGAATGTTCTTACCTGATACTCATAAATCTTTATTTGTAGTGACAAGAAGCTGTGTTCCAGGCGGCCTTAGGTTTAGGCCACTTAGGTGACTGTCTATAGGCCCCATTTTTTGTAAAATTTTTGGGCCCCCAATTTATATTTTTAGTTATGGGTGCATATATTTTGAATGAATTGATTTGAATAGGCCCAAAATTTTTTAATAGGCCCATTGGCCCTATAACAACTTACCTAATAAATTGCTTCACTTGCCAGCCGTATTAGATGCCTAGACTATAGGAACAACATCTCTCTTTCTTGCCTATGAAAATAGTAATTCAATTAGCAAAAATACGAGATGCTTTAATTCAATTAGCCAAAATTAGTGAAGATCTTAAAACAAGGAGTGAAACCACATACTTAGCTACATATGAGATTAAAAATTTTGAATTTTTATTGGATATGAATATTTGGTATGATATATTATTTGTTGTTAACACAGTTAGTAAAAATTTATAATCTAAAGACATGCATATTGATGTTACTATTAATCAATTAAAAAGACTTATTTCTTTTTAGAATCATATAGAAAAAATAGATTTCACTCTACTTTGATTTCATCAAAAGAGACTGCAATTGAAATAGAAATAGAACCAGTATTTTGTAAAAACTATAAAATTCTTAGGAAAAAATAATTTGGTGATGTAATTGAGAATGCAATAACACTATCAGTTGAAGAACCTTTTAGGATTGGGTATTTTTTATATGTAGTTGATTTAGCTATTTCTTCAATCCAAAGTAGGTTTGAAAATTTTAAAATATATGGAATATTTTTGATTTTTGATTTTGCTTTAAAAAATTAAAATATTTAGATGATGATAGTTTAAAAATGTGTTGTCTTAACCTTAAAATTTTTTTGAAGTATGACTTATTTTCTAATATAGATGGTTTAGATTTATTTAAAGAATTGAATGTATTAAGAAAGTTTTACAATATGAAATTAACACTCCAGCTGGAACAATGCAGTAGCTCCGATCAACTATGTCACAAGAAAGAGTAAATGAATTAGATATATTTTCTATTAAAAATGATATATTAACAAAACTTGAATATAAAAATAGATTTTATATTTTATTATATATATATNTTATTTCGTTATTTCGTTATTTTTTATTTTTAATTTAATATTTTATGAATTGTTTTAAAATTATATATTATTTTATTAATAGTAATATCTATACAAGACTCAATAGATATCCATCATTCGTATTGAATAGTGAGACTCAACTTCGGGTGCAATTGCCAAGAGAAGGCCCGTCATGGTCCATTACACTTTGAACTATCGTGCTTGTCAGCCCAATATCCTCGACTGCTTAACGATGGCCTGATGAGTCACCAGTTAGTTCCATGGGCTACCAACACACCCACAATATGGCCCATATTTGCCCAGAGTAGGCCCATCCTAACCCATTACTCTTTGAACAATCTGGCTAACGTCAACCCTAACCGGCCGAACTGCGATGACAATCAGTGACGGAGAAACCCATAAATTAAAAAACACAAAAATGAAAGGCGATTAATTCTTAGCCAGAATCAACGGCCACGATTCTCTATCTGCTCCACCTAACCGTCCGATCTTCCATTGACCTCGTGCACACCGAAAATTTAAAAAATTTGTTGGCTTTTCTCTCTCACACACTCACACACATTCGCCCACCAAACCAAAATATATCCTACAGACCGAGAAACAATAAGCATTGCTTTCTCTCTCTCTCTCGCCATGGCTGCTTCTTCATCTTTCTCTCTCTCCCAAGCGCTCCTCTCACACTCTCTTCCCACCCATTGCTCAACCCAACAGCACTCCGACCGTCTTTGTCTCTCTGGCTTCAACCTCAGCTCTATTTCCGGCACAAAACCAAACAAATCCACTCTCAGACAAATATCACGCGCCGCGAACCCCAGACGTCGCGTGGCCTCACGATCCACCGTGAAGGCCGCGGCCGTCGAGACCCTCGAAAAGACTGACATCGCCGTGGTAGAGAAATCGATCAACACGATCAGATTTCTAGCAATTGATGCGGTTGAGAAGGCCAATTCCGGTCACCCCGGTCTGCCCATGGGATGTGCTCCGATGGGTCACATATTGTATGATGAAGTGATGAGGTATAATCCCAAGAACCCGTATTGGTTCAACCGTGATAGGTTTGTGTTGTCGGCTGGACATGGGTGTATGTTGCAGTATGCTCTGCTTCACTTGGCTGGCTATGACAGTGTTCTGGTAATATATAGTTTGCATCTTTTTGAGTAATTTGTTAAAGTTTGGGATTGTTTTGATTTTGGGTATTGGTAATTGTTCGACTATTGTCTTTTAGTGTTCTTAACTGGCTTTGTTCTTATGACTGGTCTAGCTGATTAGATTCAATTGAAAATAGAGAAGATTTAGGTGCAAAGAGATATTTAGTATAATAGAATTCCGTCTAAATAGTCTTTTGATTTGGCCAGATATTTACAGTTTAATTAAGGTTGGAATTTGTATTCAGACTTGTATAAAAAAAAGCAACTTTCTGGGCATCTAATTTTTAATGCACTAATATTTTTATGAAGATTGTTCTATTTTCTTTGAACATATATATTTTGCTAAAATATACGAAGAAGTTACATATTTTGCTCTTATACTAGAAAGCCAACCTCATTGATATGATTTCCTGTTATGTTAAGATCTTTTTAATAGGATATTATTTCTCATGATGATGTGTTTTAAACTTGGTTTTGGTGTCTAACGTGTTATAGATATCTGATCAGCTGAAGTTTTTGTTTTGTTTTTTTCCCTAATTGATTGTTTTGAAATTGTATGCTTTGACAAATTTTCACATGTTTATGCTGTTATTGGATTTGACACACTAGGAAGAAGACTTGAAAAGTTTCCGCCAGTGGGGAAGCAGAACACCTGGTCATCCTGAAAACTTTGAGACTCCTGGCATTGAAGTCACGACAGGTTTGCTTATATTCCTTGAACTCTAAAAAGTATTGAGTTTTAGTTGTCATTAACGACCTTTTTAGTTGTCTCTATGTTTTTACATTTCTTTATTTCTTTTGTAGGCCCTCTTGGTCAGGGTATTGCTAATGCTGTTGGTTTGGCCCTTGCTGAGAAACATTTGGCAGCTCGATACAACAAACCAGACAATGAGATTGTTGATCACTACACGTATATCTATTGCATTCTACTCTATATTTTCTTATGTCTGTCTAAATATATAAGAAAGTTTGCCATGTTTGACTTAAAACCGTGTTTTCTTAGGTATGTGATACTCGGGNTAATTTTTTGAGGTGGGTAAAATATTTTCAGTGGAGGTGCCCGGAATGAAACACAACGCGACTAATTAATACAAGTAATATATGAATCGAATTAATATTGGATGTGCGAGAAAAATTTTGTACAAGGAATCATCACCTTGTACAACCAAAGATGATAGGGAAAAAACTCTGAGTAACATGTAAGACAAGAGAAAATTTAGGTGAATCGATAGTTGGAGGTGACCAAAGGGACTCCGATGCTTAAGTCAGATTGTAAGTTGAACAAGAATATAAAGTGAATAGATTATGATTGAATGTTCTTACCTGATACTCATAAATCTTTATTTGTAGTGACAAGAAGCTGTGTTCCAGGGCGGCCTTAGGTTTAGGCCACTTAGGTGATGCTTATAGGCCCCATTTTTTGTAAAATTTTAGGCCCCAATTTATATTTTTAGTTATGGTACATATATTTTGAATGAATTGATTTGAGTAGGCCCAAAATTTTTTAATAGGCCCATTAGCCCTATAACAACTTACCTAATAAATTGCTCCACTTGCCCGCCGTATTAGACGCCTAGACTTNTATTTTGAATGAATTGATTTGAATAGGCCCAAAATTTTTTAATAGGCCCATTGGCCCTATAACAACTTACCTAATAAATTGCTTCACTTGCCAGCCGTATTAGATGCCTAGACTATAGGAACAACATCTCTCTTTCTTGCCTATGAAAATAGTAATTCAATTAGCAAAAATACGAGATGCTTTAATTCAATTAGCCAAAATTAGTGAAGATCTTAAAAGAAGGAGTGAAACCACATACTTAGTTACATNTCTGCCCATGGGATGTGCTCCGATGGGTCACATATTGTATGATGAAGTGATGAGGTATAATCCCAAGAACCCGTATTGGTTCAACCGTGATAGGTTTGTGTTGTCGGCTGGACATGGGTGTATGTTGCAGTATGCTCTGCTTCACTTGGCTGGCTATGACAGTGTTCTGGTAATATATAGTTTGCATCTTTTTGAGTAATTTGTTAAAGTTTGGGATTGTTTTGATTTTGGGTATTGGTAATTGTTCGACTATTGTCTTTTAGTGTTCTTAACTGGCTTTGTTCTTATGACTGGTCTAGCTGATTAGATTCAATTGAAAATAGAGAAGATTTAGGTGCAAAGAGATATCTAGTATAATAGAATTCCGTCTAAATAGTCTTTTGATTTGGCCAGATATTTACAGTTTAATTAAGGTTGGAATTTGTATTCAGACTTGTATAAAAAAAAGCAACTTTCTGGGCATCTAATTTTTAATGCACTAATATTTTTATGAAGATTGTTCTATTTTCTTTGAACATATATATTTTGCTAAAATATACGAAGAAGTTACATATTTTGCTCTTATACTAGAAAGCCAACCTCATTGATATGATTTCCTGTTATGTTAAGATCTTTTTAATAGGATATTATTTCTCATGATGATGTGTTTTAAACTTGGTTTTGGTGTCTAACGTGTTATAGATATCTGATCAGCTGAAGTTTTTGTTTTGTTTTTTTCCCTAATTGATTGTTTTGAAATTGTATGCTTTGACAAATTTTCACATGTTTATGCTGTTATTGGATTTGACACACTAGGAAGAAGACTTGAAAAGTTTCCGCCAGTGGGGAAGCAGAACACCTGGTCATCCTGAAAACTTTGAGACTCCTGGCATTGAAGTCACGACAGGTTTGCTTATATTCCTTGAACTCTAAAAAGTATTGAGTTTTAGTTGTCATTAACGACCTTTTTAGTTGTCTCTATGTTTTTACATTTCTTTATTTCTTTTGTAGGCCCTCTTGGTCAGGGTATTGCTAATGCTGTTGGTTTGGCCCTTGCTGAGAAACATTTGGCAGCTCGATACAACAAACCAGACAATGAGATTGTTGATCACTACACGTATATCTATTGCATTCTACTCTATATTTTCTTATGTCTGTCTAAATATATAAGGAAGTTTGCCATGTTTGACTTAAAACCGTGTTTTCTTAGGTATGTGATACTCGGAGATGGTTGCCAGATGGAAGGAATCTCAAATGAAGCTTGTTCCCTTGCTGCACACTGGGGACTCGGCAAGCTGATTGCATTCTATGACGACAACCACATTTCCATTGATGGTGACACAGAAATTGCATTTACTGAGAATGTTGACAAGCGCTTTGAAGGACTTGGCTGGCATGTTATTTGGGTGAAGAATGGTAACACTGGGTATGATGAAATCCGTGCTGCCATTAAGGAAGCTAAGGCTGTCAAAGACAAACCTACTCTGATCAAGGTGTTTTCTCCTACGTGATTGCAGATATTGTTGAAATTCGGGTTTTCTTGTCCTTCTTCTTCCCCTTGCTGCCTTGATCATGCTTTACTCTGCTTATTATAACTTTTTTCCTTACACAGGTAACAACTACTATCGGTTTTGGGTCTCCTAACAAAGCAAACTCATATAGTGTGCACGGAAGTGCATTAGGTGCTAAAGAAGTGGATGCCACAAGGAAGAACCTTGGTTGGCCATATGAGCCATTCCATGTGCCAGAGGACGTTAAAAAGTAAGTTCATTGATAATGTTGCGTTTCACTTGTACTTCTAGAATGAAATCTAGATCTTATGACAATCTTCTGGCTTTCACAGGCATTGGAGCCGCCATGGCTCTGAAGGAGCTGCCCTTGAAGCTGAATGGAATGCCAAGTTTGCAGAGTACGAGAAGAAATATAAGGAAGAAGCAGCAGAATTAAAGTCTCTTATTAGTGGAGAATTACCTGTTGGATGGGAAACAGCACTTCCAGTTTGTTGTGCTTTCTTTAGTTATTTTTCGCATGAGCATATTTTTTTTGTGTGTCATTTATATATGGATCATACTCAGGTTAACATTCTCTCTTTTCCAGACTTATACTCCAGAAAGTCCTGCTGATGCCACCCGAAATCTCTCTCAGCAATGCCTTAATGCCCTTGCAANGTTATTTCGTTATTTTTTATTTTTAATTTAATATTTTATGAATTGTTTTAAAATTATATATTATTTTATTAATAGTAATATCTATACAAGACTCAATAGATATCCATCATTCGTATTGAATAGTGAGACTCAACTTCGGGTGCAATTGCCAAGAGAAGGCCCGTCATGGTCCATTACACTTTGAACTATCGTGCCTGTCAGCCCAATATCCTCGACTGCTTAACGATGGCCTGATGAGTCACCAGTTAGTTCCATGGGCTACCAACACACCCACAATATGGCCCATATTTGCCCAGAGTAGGCCCATCCTAACCCATTACTCNGTTTTTTTTTTCTCTTTTATTTATTTGAGGGATGGTTTTAATGTTATCTGAAACATTTTTTGGAGTGGAGTTGTGGTGAATTGAATTTTCATCAGTGGGTTGAAGCCAGTCATTGAGGCTAAGGCAATCTTTTTCATGCATGGTGGGGAGGTCCCACCAAGCCATGATCTTATTAGCTAAGGGGATTTGTTGATGACTTTGTGGCTGTTGAAGCTGCTGTCACGGCCTACTTATCCTCTTTGTTTTCCTGCTTTAGAGGCATCTTTTCGAAGGAATATCCAATCAATGTTCGACGAAAAAAATATCTCCAAAAATCAACCAAAAAAGCCATTGTAACATAGCTGCTAAACTTATTGTCACTGTAACTCACTCAGCCCACGAATGGGGGCTAGGTATTAGTCCGTATGTCTTTAGTTTGATTCTATATAACTTTTGGTTAGAATCCAACAAATTCCCTCATGTTGCAACTAAATCTAGTACATAAACGAGCCTGATGTTGCTCCTCTCGTCAAGTGTTGCTTAGTCAGCCATGGTTGGATTAGGTAGAGGTTCAAGCACGACATGCCACATTCCTGAAAAAATATTAGGAAGAGGTTGATAGTTAAATGTGTGTAACCTTAGTATGTTTAAAGACGATTTCAATGACTCATATCAATAGCACTCAAGGTCACAATAAAACAACTGCACCATTGCCTCAAATCAATAGCACTCGAGGTCTTATTTTTGTCGGAAAAGTGTGTTATTTCAACTCTTTGGGATGTTACAGTCACATTCAAATCAAACTTCCAAAAGGTAAAAGTTCAGTATGTTGAAAATCATTGAGGATTCAANGATGAAATCCGTGCTGCCATTAAGGAAGCTAAGGCTGTCAAAGACAAACCTACTCTGATCAAGGTGTTTTCTCCTACGTGATTGCAGATATTGTTGAAATTCGGGTTTTCTTGTCCTTCTTCTTCCCCTTGCTGCCTTGATCATGCTTTACTCTGCTTATTATAACTTTTTTCCTTACACAGGTAACAACTACTATCGGTTTTGGGTCTCCTAACAAAGCAAACTCATATAGTGTGCACGGAAGTGCATTAGGTGCTAAAGAAGTGGATGCCACAAGGAAGAACCTTGGTTGGCCATATGAGCCATTCCATGTGCCAGAGGACGTTAAAAAGTAAGTTCATTGATAATGTTGCGTTTCACTTGTACTTCTAGAATGAAATCTAGATCTTATGACAATCTTCTGGCTTTCACAGGCATTGGAGCCGCCATGGCCCTGAAGGAGCTGCCCTTGAAGCTGAATGGAATGCCAAGTTTGCAGAGTACGAGAAGAAATATAAGGAAGAAGCAGCAGAATTAAAGTCTCTTATTAGTGGAGAATTACCTGTTGGATGGGAAACAGCACTTCCAGTTTGTTGTGCTTTCTTTAGTTATTTTTCGCATGAGCATATTTTTTTTGTGTGTCATTTATATATGGATCATACTCAGGTTAACATTCTCTCTTTTCCAGACTTATACTCCAGAAAGTCCTGCTGATGCCACCCGAAATCTCTCTCAGCAATGCCTTAATGCCCTTGCAAAAGTTCTTCCTGGCCTTCTTGGTGGTAGTGCAGATCTCGCTTCCTCCAACATGACATTGTTGAAAATGTTTGGTGACTTCCAAAAGGACACCCCTGAAGAGCGGAATGTCCGGTTTGGTGTTAGGGAGCATGGAATGGGTGCCATCTGCAATGGGATTGCGCTCCACTGCCCTGGTCTTCTGNTTCCAGACTTATACTCCAGAAAGTCCTGCTGATGCCACCCGAAATCTCTCTCAGCAATGCCTTAATGCCCTTGCAAAAGTTCTTCCTGGCCTTCTTGGTGGTAGTGCAGATCTCGCTTCCTCCAACATGACGTTGTTGAAAATGTTTGGTGACTTCCAAAAGGACACCCCTGAAGAGCGTAATGTCCGGTTTGGTGTTAGGGAGCATGGAATGGGTGCCATCTGCAATGGGATTGCGCTCCACTGCCCTGGTCTTATCCCTTACTGTGCAACCTTTTTTGTGTTCACGGATTACATGAGGGCAGCCATAAGGATTTCTGCCTTGTGTGAAGCTGGAGTTATATATGTGATGACCCATGATTCTATTGGACTTGGAGAGGACGGCCCCACACATCAACCAATTGAGCATTTGGCAAGCTTCAGGGCCATGCCAAATATCCTAATGCTCCGTCCAGCTGATGGAAATGAGACCGCTGGTGCATATAAGGTTGCAATTCTCAATCGAAAGAGACCCTCTATTCTTGCCCTATCCCGTCAAAAGCTTTCTCAGCTTTCGGGATCATCAATTGAAGGAGTTGAGAAAGGAGGGTACATTATATCAGACAACTCTTCAGGAAACAAGCCAGACGTTATCCTGATTGGAACTGGCTCAGAATTGGAAATTGCAGCAAAGGCAGGTGATGAGCTCAGGAATGGAGGAAAGACTGTGCGGGTTGTGTCCTTTGTTTCTTGGGAGCTGTTTGATGAACAAACTGATGCATATAAGGAAAGTGTCCTGCCAGCAGCTGTAACAGCTAGGGTCAGCATTGAGGCAGGATCAACATTTGGGTGGGAGAAATTAGTTGGAAGTAAGGGCAAGGCGATTGGTATAGACCATTTTGGTGCAAGTGCACCAGCAGGAAAAATATACAAGGAGTTCGGGATTACTGTAGAAGCTGTAGTTGAAGCAGCCAAGGCAATCTGCTAAGCCTGTTTAGTGATAGTTTTTCCATGTTTCCATAGATGACTAGGGATGGTTTTGGCAAAGATAGAAGAGGCTGTTGCTCGGAGAATAAGATGGAATTAAATGAATAAAAAGGAGAAACATGATTCTCTTCTCTTTTATTCCTCTTATATTATCCTTGGTGGATTTTCAGAGTCTCACTCAAGTCAAGATTGAACGTCTCCTGAGAAGGGAAAACATTCATTGACCCAAGTGTTTTAGAGCTCCCAATAGATGTATTTTGGCATCGTTATGTTTTGAAAGGTTCATCCTGAGTAGGCTTTTACTATGTCATGTTTCTATTGTGCCTTTGGTTCAGGAACTTGCCTATGACAATTTCACTTCTTGGGTTTTTTTTTTCTCTTTTATTTATTTGAGGGATGGTTTTAATGTTATCTGAAACATTTTTTGGAGTGGAGTTGTGGTGAATTGAATTTTCATCAGTGGGTTGAAGCCAGTCATTGAGGCTAAGGCAATCTTTTTCATGCATGGTGGGGAGGTCCCACCAAGCCATGATCTTATTAGCTAAGGGGATTTGTTGATGACTTTGTGGCTGTTGAAGCTGCTGTCACGGCCTACTTATCCTCTTTGTTTTCCTGCTTTAGAGGCATCTTTTCGAAGGAATATCCAATCAATGTTCGACGAAAAAAATATCTCCAAAAATCAACCAAAAAAGCCATTGTAACATAGCTGCTAAACTTATTGTCACTGTAACTCACTCAGCCCACGAATGGGGGCTAGGTATTAGTCCGTATGTCTTTAGTTTGATTCTATATAACTTTTGGTTAGAATCCAACAAATTCCCTCATGTTGCAACTAAATCTAGTACATAAACGAGCCTGATGTTGCTCCTCTCGTCAAGTGTTGCTTAGTCAGCCATGGTTGGATTAGGTAGAGGTTCAAGCACGACATGCCACATTCCTGAAAAAATATTAGGAAGAGGTTGATAGTTAAATGTGTGTAACCTTAGTATGTTTAAAGACGATTTCAATGACTCAAATCAATAGCACTCAAGGTCACAATAAAACAACTGCACCATTGCCTCAAATCAATAGCACTCGAGTTCTTATTTTTGTCGGAAAACCTTAGGTGTGTTATTTCAACTCTTTGGGATGTTACAGTTACATTCAAATCAAACTTCCAAAAGGTAAAAGTTCAGTATGTTGAAAATCATTGAGGATTCAGAAACTTGACAACCGATGTAAATATCCCAAAACATAAACACATAAAAAAAAGACGGGGGAACATAACCCAAAGGAAATCTGGTCACAACTCTAATTAAACATAAATAGTTTAAATAAAAACTGGACTCCGTGCACAGACATAGATTACAGAGGCGAAAGGGTTTGAAGATGAGTTTGTAGAACAATAAAAGGTCACTGATGAGTACTGTTACTATCACTCTCCATCTCTTCTGCGTCCTCAAACCGTTGATCATCAATTTGAAGCTACATTGAGTAAAAAAAACATTAATGTCCATTACTGAATCCACAAACTTTTTGAGATTGAAACAAAAACATACCATCAATCATTCAAAGAGAGTGGGACAATAAACCAAAACTGTAATGAATTCTGCTTGAATTTTGGAATGCTATTTGTAATGCAATCTTCCACATCGAAACAAAACTAAGATGATCACCATTACACATACCTCAAGTACTGTACGAGTTAAGTCATGATCCCCATTAGAAAAACCAATTGAGTTGGTAGGATTTAGAGAAGTGTCCCATCCAGAGTCTTCCCCCTCTACAATGATAAAATTACATAATAGTTAGAATACAACAAAACCTTCTGGAGAAACAAAATACAACACAATAAAAGAAAATAAAGTTAATGGAAATAGGGCAAACCTCTACCTAAGGTCTGATCTTCCATCTGATCAGCACTAAAAATCCAATTGTGCACTTCCTCTTCCTCTGAAGAAAGCAATCACACAATGCACAAGTAGGTTGGAACACAAAGAGTACACATGCTATACAGTATAGTGAATAAACCTTTTAAGTATGAATTCAATCCCAGTCCAGAATATTGATACTCACCTTCAATAGGTTCAGGATTTAGCTCAGCACATTCACAAAATATCTCGAACAGAGTATCCACTATGATGAAAGTCAAGAGAAAAAAAAATTACTCTTCCCCATTGAAAAGGCGTAAAAAAAACATACCATGTGGAAATATAGCTCCAAGATAACAGTTATTAAAAAAAATCTGAAAGAAATGGGATAAATACATAGATTAGGATCTGATGGCACCAGCCTCATCTCATTGATCTTTGATAAATCAAGTGTCCCATTACATTCTGAATCTGAGCCCTCTGACTCATTGTCTTCAGATCCAGTCTCAATCTTCAAAACAAGCCATGCAGATGTTAAAATAAGCCCACCAGCAGAAATATAATTTGCATGCATATACACTTGTTTAAAATAAAAAAGAACACAAGAAGGAGAACAAGACCAGATACCAAGTGACAAGAGGTCTATATCCTTAAAAGAATCAGAAATCATTACAAATATAGAAGATTAAGAAGTAACGTTCAATCTGACTGCAAAGAAAAAAGAAAACTAATGTTCACCTTTGATTAAAATCATTCCCCAATTGATAAGGTCTCCTATTTAGTCATCTATTCCACTCACACATTTGCATGCATGGAGCACCACACACAACTTGTTCAAACCATTACACTTTCTTTTTATTAACTCACTTGTTCTGTCACTTTGATCCACTGCCTCACTTCCACATCCCCATACCACAAAAAAAATTGGAAGCTGATTTAGGCAACAACCATCCAGCTCCATCCCCTGAAAGAAAGAACCACATTCCGAAAGNTTAACTCACTTGTTCTGTCACTTTGATCCACTGCCTCACTTCCACATCCCCATACCAAAAAAAAAAATTGGAAGCTGATTTAGGCAACAACCATCCAGCTCCATCCCCTGAAAGAAAGAACCCCATTCCGAAAANAAAAAAGAAAACTAATGTTCACCTTTGATTAAAATCATTCCCCAATTGATAAGGTCTCCTATTTAGTCATCTATTCCACTCACACATTTGCATGCATGGAGCACCACACACAACTTGTTCAAACCATTACACTTTCTTTTTATTAACTCACTTGTTCTGTCACTTTGATCCACTGCCTCACTTCCACATCCCCATACCACAAAAAAAATTGGAAGCTGATTTAGGCAACAACCATCCAGCTCCATCCCCTGAAAGAAAGAACCACATTCCGAAAGCTCCCTTGCCACCTTCCAACACAACACTAGAGATCTACCCACTCTACTTTCTCCTTTCAAATAATTCTCGGTGCTAAACCACAGTGTGCGTATTAATAGAGAATCTGTTCATCCATTTTACCAAAGACCACTAAGTACAACTAGATAAATATTCAATTTAGACAAAGTCCCTTAAATGTTATTTTTGAATGATACTTCAGCACAAAAATAGTTCATACAAAAGCTGAATATCACAAATGTGTCGGGGTGTGAGGAATGTCTGACATGTAATGACTCAGTTTTGAGATCTCCAAAAATGATTTGTTATTTATGGCAGAGTCACCAAACAGCTAAAACCTCACAGAGTTTAGCTTTCATAATGTGCAGAAACAGTAGGGTCAGTGGGATGCTCTAGTTTTAGTTTCTCAATCCAAGATTTTTAATTAATTGATGGTCTGGATGTGTAATTTGTTTCTTTAAATGTATCGGAAGCCCAGAAAAGACCTAATAATATTAACCAATAATACTTAACAAAATTAAGCCCTCAAATTCTTGTAATCTATGCAACAATTACAAACCTCACACGTTAACCATAAAGCACCAGGAAAATTTCATAAGGTTTGAATACATGAAAATTTCGTTCTTCACCTGGGTATATATGCAAGGAGATGTGTAAGCCTCCGGATCCCTCGAAACCGCATGAAGCGACACTGACAAGAAATCAACCGCATAACCCTTCGTTCTATCCGTGTCACTCAACCACACCACTTGCCTTCAAAATTCCCAGAAAAAAATACCAAGTTAAAAACAGTTGAATTTGAGCACACACTTGTGTGTGTGTGTGTGCGTGCGCGAGAGAGAGAGAGTACTTGGTGGAGATGTAGAGTGTGCCGGGGGACTCAGAGGCACGGTTGCCGAGGACGATGGATACGCCTGGCTGTACGTGCATAAGTCCCTCGCCGTTGTTGACGTCGAGGACTGGTTGCCCGGCGCCGTCGCCGACTCTGTCCGTGAATATCCTTAAGCCTCCCACCATTTTTGTTTCAAAACCCTAACCTGGCAGTATTCTGAGTCCAATATTTTTCTGGGCTTTGTGGCAAATTGGCAATTGCTGGACTCGATTGGTTTTACATGGAAAATAAAATACCACGCGAAACCAGAAAATCAGGGTGCTTTATAAGATGGCCCCTTTTGCTTATAAAAAAAAAATGTTAAATACACTTAATAAATTCACTTCATGAATTAATTTTTTTAACTCTATATGACATTAAAAGTAAGCCTTATGAATTTGAAAAAGCTTGCCATTGTAGTATGTGGTGAAAACCCCGACTCTTAGGGAGTAAAAATTACCATATGATATACTAGAGATTCTTGACATGGAAAACCAATTATACATATAAATAGGGTAAAACAATGCTTCCCAAATTTATGTGCTTCGAATGTTTAGTAAACGTTAGTAAATCCCACTGATTCAATCACCTAATTTGATAATTATAGCATTGCTCGAATAAATACGGGTTCCCAGCACAAAACAATCTCCAGTAATCATTTTATTATGATGAGCTGCACCATGGCGCACTGGGTGGGAAAACACAGTTCACAGGAAAATTTTAGCATTCAGGTCATCAACCACTAAAAATTTCACCAAATCAGCACAACTTGCTCAATTCTCAATTGAACATATGCAAGAGAACTTGAGAATGAAGCCAGCGTAATGAGCATTTGCAAAATTGAAGCTTTTTTCTGTGATAGATAAAGAAACTTGTAATGCATAAAAGCGAAACAAGCATTCCTCTAATGAACTGGAAAGTCTTGGTTCTTTCACTCGTTGTCCATGTAACAATAAAATTAAATCACAAACTCTAGCTTGGACAAATAATTTCCAAGCTAAGGGAAGAATATCTGGCCCGAGCATACATCTCTTAACTGATTATCCTAAAACTTAATCCCGGCAGCATCCTAGTCTAAGCCACGAGCGTGCTGGCAGTGGTAGACTCGCTGCAAATGGGAAAGTTCGAGTCAGTAATATAATCAGTAACAAAGAAGAAAATAGGTCACTGAAGCTTTTTCACATGAAAGAACAGACAGATCAAGCAGGCATGATTCCTAGATTCAATTTGACTTAAAAAAAAAAAGGTCAGCAGAAAATCAATGGAAGAACAAGAGTGAGCTAGAAGATTTCCAGAAACATAATATAAGGCAATACTTTGCTCCCCTTCTACTGGTGGCTAGTAAAATGACACCATATGGCAGAAATAACTTGAAAGAACAAGCACAACCAAAAAAACTTGAAAGAACAAATGTATCTCTCAAGGGCTTTATGCTTGAGCATTGTTACAGAAGTATAGAAACATAGTGGTAATTTCACGCTCCCCAACTTCAAAATGCAGTTTATGCCAAAACAGACATTAACCTGTGAAAAGTAAGAGCAGAGACACACATGCGAGAGAGAGAGAGAGAGAGAGAGAGAGAACAACAAAACAAGTGAATGAATATCAACAAGAACAAGTTAAGCAAGTGCAAAGGGAACTGCCATGTGCATTCATAGTTCCTGCAAAAACTTTCCTAACAGTCATAATGATTGTGTAGCAAGTGAGAATCAGGCATATAAAGCAGTCATCATAAGGTAAAGAGATTAAGGGAGTATCTAGATTTTGGAATCAACCTAGCCCATCCTCAGGCCACTCAAGTGACCTTATCATACATTAGGTAAACAACAACAAACATATAATACTGTATTTGACACCCACTTTGCACAAACATAAGTAGAAATTTTTATTATAGTGGAACCAACTCCATCAATATCCAGTTTGGTTCACGCACAAAAAAAAAAAAAAATGAATCCTAACAAGATACACAAAATCAAAGTAAAAATCACAATAGTTCACACAGGTATTTTACTGTGAAGAACGACGCATAATTCACAAAAAGCAAGTCAATCTGGTTCGCTTGAAAAAGCAAACAAGATGTACGTTTCTCTGTTTCACTGGAAAATTAAAATGTTGTTACAGAATGGATCAATGCCAATCACCGAATTATACCCTAAAAGCTCTAGAACCTTATCATATTCTATTCCTTGGAAACAAAAGTTTCAACCACTTTATCAAAACCTAATCCAGCAGCAAGTTAGGACTTAGGCGAAAACAAATATTTTGGAGAATCAAAATCATAAACTCCTCTAGTTTGTTAATTTCAATTGAGAGTTTTCCCACGTTGGACCTGAATCAGGCGCAAAAAATATTGGGAAAACGTAAAAAACAAATATGTTTACAGCGAAGGCTTACTATTTCCAGACTGGAGGTAGCTTCTTGGTCTTCTTGTAGTAGCGAGCGAGTCGGTGAATCCTACTCTCGACAAGAATCAATCGGAACTTCGAATCCTTGTCCTTCCTGCTCCTTTCCAGATGTTTGCGAACTGCGACAGCCTTCTTGATCAAATGGTACAGATCCTCAGGAATCTCCGGAGCAAGGCCTAAGCAAATGAAATTGATACCACCACCACCCATCGACGACCGCAATTACACGGAAATTGAATTCGGAGAAAAGGAGAGAAAATGTTACCGTGAGCCTTGAGGATACGCAAGATCTTGCTTCCAGTGACGCTCTTGACCTGAGCAATTCCATGAGAGTCACGAAGGATAATACCGATCTGTGACGGTGTCAAACCTTTCTTCGCGAACTTACAGATGTTTTCATCAACCTAGAACAAATCCAGAATAAAGAGTGAAGCAATTGTGAAATATTTGCATCCATTCATTGTCCATTGTACAAATGAGTAGATAAAGATTAGAGTTAAGCTAAATAACTCACATCCTGAGAAGAAATCTTGAGCCAACTGGGAGGAGTTCTCTTGTAAGGCAAAGCAGAAGCAGAGATACCCTTCCTGAAAGCACACAAAACGCACGATTCAGACTGATGATAATAGAGAATGTAGAAAGTGTAAGCAAAGGAGAGAGAGAGAGACCCTCGGCTGTGCATGCGACCCATGGTGACGGAGTTGGAGGCGCTGTTCTGCGCACAGCTGCTTTACTTCTTCTCTGACTAAAACCACAAACACTCGCCCCTAAATTGGANAGAGAGAGAGAGAGACCCTCGGCTGTGCATGCGACCCATGGTGACGGAGTTGGAGGCGCTGTTCTGCGCACAGCTGCTTTGCTTCTTCTCTGACTAAAACCACAAACCCTCGCCCCTAAATTGGACGAAGCAATTTAGTAGTAAATTAGGGCCAAGCTGTAGCAAATTACCCTCCGACTTTTGTCTCCTTTGCATTTATACTTTCCTTAGCGAATGGCTGGGCCAAGCTAGGCCACTTGTCATTTGGCCCATACAACACAGAGATGGGCTACGGACAGCGCTCTAATTTGATTTAAGAACCGACCGCGATCCAGAATTCCAACCCATCCTGTGGTCCATGAAGTTGGGCTGAAGTTTAGGCTATGGACTCAAGCTGGAATGAACTGAATGATAGGGTTCCAAAACTGTGTACTAGCTGAAGGAAGGGCTTCAGATCTCCGTGGCGATTTATCGTATGACAAAATAGATCCGCGGGCCTATCAATTGAACCATAAATGCAAATTGATCGACAGCTACCTAGCTACCTAAGGTAAGGGGAGACATGTAATGATTTGTCTAGATCTCGTGTTTCTCATATTCTGGGCTTATCTTACTATTATGAAAAGGGAACAGGACGGGACTTGAACGAAAGTTTTTCTTCAACAAAGACTTGCCCATTAGGTTTTGAATTTCCAGCAACTTGTTAAAAGTTGCAGAGATTATTCACCAACCAAGCTCTCTCTTTTCTAGTTAGTATGTTCATAACGATTCAGCCTACACTGGTGTGGGCTTGGAGGGCCAATCTTCCTTTTCAGATTGAAAGTACCAAGTCTTTTTTTTCCGATAAGATGACTTGTTAATTTCTGAAATACCCAATANTCTTCAACAAAGACTTGCCCATTAGGTTTTGAATTTCCAGCAACTTGTTAAAAGTTGTAGAGATTATTCACCAACCAAGCTCTCTCTTTTCTAGTTAGTATGTTCATAACGATTCAGTCTACACTGGTGTGGGCTTGGAGGGCCAATCTTCCTTTTCAGATTGAAAGTATCAAGTCTTTTTTTTCCGATAAGATGACTTGTTAATTTCTGAAATACCCAATATCATAACTTAATCATATTCACTTCACATGACAACCCATGGGAGATGCAGTTAAAAAAACCATCCACTGCACAAGAGTTTCTTCCCAGAAAGAAAAAAATAACACAAAAACCATGTAGTTTTAAAAGTTTGGTATTGACATCTGGTAATTTGTCATTTTTATTGGGCTTAATTGTAATATGAGATTAAAATGTCAAGGATGAGAGAGAGAGAGAGACTGAACTACAAAACGCAGAAAGTCCAACAAACAAGAAACTGAGTGCTTTACATGATGATAGGTTTGAACAAGGTAGAAACCATTACAAGGATCTTTTTCAAACACTGGAAGTACAAACTGTTCCTTAACAGCAAACAACCGATCATTTAAAAATCAAAATGAAAAAAGATGGTAAATACAAAAGCAGGACTGCACTGATTAAAGACTACGCTACAAAAGAAAAGACAGATCCTCTCTCCATGCGCATGAACAATACAACCATCAACCCAAATGACCTGCACATGAAATTATGAAGCCCAGAGAATTAAATGAGTTACAAAGAAATCAAAGTTAATCATCAGTAACTCCGACTGCACATCACAAATAGGGTGCATGTGTGCTTATTTATGGACATTGACATTGATACATATTGCAAGCAAGAGGCAGAATATGACTACATTGTTTATATCAAAATTTCTCGTATAAGAGAGGATGTCACAAAAAATTGTCCATATCTAATCAACAACAACCTCAACCACAGTTTACAAACCAGTGTTTACCCAAAAAATTGCCACCAACTACCCAATTCAATCTACACATTTTGCGGATTTCACTTAATTACTTCTTAAAGACATTTGAGACAAAGGTTACCATGAAACTTAAATTGCCAAGCAGACATTGCCCAATTTTCACCAAGAGCAGCTAACAAGGTGGGAAGTTTTCAACATGGAACAAGCACACAACTGTCAGACTTCAGCATGGATATATTAGATACATGATAACCTCTTAACTTCCGTCAATACACAACTATGGGTGTAATGTATTGGGTGTATAGAAGAAATGACGTGTATTTTAATTTTTAACCACAAAAGGCCATAACCTGAATACAATGGAATCAACACATATGCGTTGAGCATCACATGTCATTGAAAGCATGTAACAAAATTTCCACATTTTTCATTATAAAACTAACTACGAGACAGCTCATCAAGGGACCTCCAAACTTGTAAACCAGTGACTGTCAAAACACATCTAGCCAATATTTCATTGTTGCCAACCAACAAATTAATGACGACCAATCATAAATGGGTACACAGTCCAGAACATAATACAAGCTGTAGCTAATCCCATTATAAATGCATACACAGTTCTAGTTTTGCTGCCAGGGTATGTCAAGGGCAAATTTTGTTTTCTTATAAGTAATTATGAATTCTCTCACTAACCCATCCACATTCTTTTGACCTCCATGTATTTCTTACAGCATGCACATTATTTGATAATATTACTTTTGCTGCAGTCCATGTTCCTTGTTGAACAAGATCAAAGACATCCCAGTGGACTTTAGTCACCTTTACATCAAATGTTGCGGCCACACAGTGATACAGATCANTTGAACAAGATCAAAGACATCCCAGTGGACTTTAGTCACCTTTACATCAAATGTTGCAGCCACACAGTGACACAGATCCCATAGAAGAATTTCTGGTTCAAGAGTTGTTTTGTCCTAATTTATTTCCAACATCCACAAGCTCTTCTTAACAAGTAAACAAAAAGGTCATGTAGACATATTTCTTAACAGCACACAATTTTCTCCTAGTTTGTTAGCCAAAAGGAAAAACAAGGAATTACTTCTTCTAAGGAGCAAAATGGGTCATTAGTTACTAACGCATCTCTCTTTCCCTCATTTTTCTTCCACTCTTTTAGAGGATATCCACTTTTNAAGGAAAAACAAGGAATTACTTCTTCTAAGGAGCAAAATGGGTCATTAGTTACTAACTCATCTCTCTTTCCCTCATTTTTCTTCCACTCTTTTAGAGGATATCCACTTTAATTTTCTTCCTTCCTGAAACTCACAACAAGGGATGAACAACATCCTTCCTCATTCATCCTTTGGTTTTTCCTAACTTAATTCCATTTCATTCCAGCTAGATGAAAAAATACCGTAAGAGAACATCATAGGGTGCTGACTCTCAAAAAGTTTAGGCATTTCAATACATTAGTCAACAAGAAAACAAGGGCCTTATCCATATGACAATGATGAGTTAAGAAATTATGTCAGGGTGTTGTTATTAAACTGGTGTGCCATCCTTGATATTATGCTGGACTATAAATATGTCCCAATCTTAATTTCAAATGATTTGGTTTTGAAAAAAGAGATACAATTGTAAATCAGCGTAATATTAACCAAATAAGCTACTAAAACAGCCGGTTTTGTGGTTGATTCAAGCGAAATGGGGAGGAAATGAGGCCACAAAGGCTACTTTCTCTGTGTTCATAAGTCAAAACAACCGATAAATGCAAAAGATAAGCTAATACTTACACCCAAACAAAAGCAGGAGGAATATCTCTTTTTTTTTCTTTTCCTGGTTTTCCCTAAATATTGACATGGAGAAGGGTTATCATATCTATTTCTTTCTTTCTTATCCCTACATATATAAGTCATTCCTGTTCTGTTCTCTTCCAGCCATCATAGTGTAACTACTATGTAATTGCACATACATGGTAACTTGAGGCACTACTTTAGGGTTATTGAAGTCATGTCGAAAATTGGGATTGGACTTCAAACACACCAAAAAAATAGGACAACATTAAGATTCTAATACTTCTAAATCATGAGAAATTACTATTAAAATAACTTACGATAATCACAAATAAGCACCCACATAACTAATCCATATCTAGGTGTACATCAGTAAGACTTTGTTTGGATTATTGGTATTAAGGGGACGGGTAAGGAAAGGAATTGGAAGCAAGCCCTACAAATTGGTTGGATAAGAAAGGATGGGGAATGGGAAGGGATGAATTCCCAAACCAAACTCCTTTCCCCCTTTATCCAAAGTGAACAATGGAATTCGTTGATGATGTTCACACTATTACTTCCTCTTTTTCCCCTCTTAATTACTTAATCAACAAGAGGTGTTGATAACTTATTACTATTCATTATTTTCTTCTCTCACCTAACCAATGCTATCCTTCCCAATCCTTTTTCCCCTGCTTATCCCAAGGGGATTTATAATAAACTTGTGCTTAATCTTTCTTTATAAAATGCCCCAAAATCAGAGTTTTATGGATATTATGCCAATTTCTGTTAAAAAAAAAATACAATTCTAATTCTATTATTCGTAGGTTTTTTTCCTTTTCTTTTCCTATTTATATGACAAGTAGTATCCTTAGAAATTAAAACCAGTAATTACCTCAGTGGTGCTAAAAATATCATATCATGTGAAATCAACAATCAAACGACATAGAGAGAAAATTCTAGAGAGAGCGAGTCATACTCACATCACTTAGCAACCATCCTAGCAATAAATTCCTCATACCGGATCTTCCCATCGGATCCAACATCTACCTCCCGGATCCACTCATCAAACTCCGCCGGATCCAGCTTCTCCCCAATCGAGGTCAAAATGTGCCTGAGATCCGAAACGACGACGAACCCAGTCCCGTCCTTATCCAGAACCTTGAACGCGTCGCGTAGCTGGCGGTCGAAGGGCTCTGGCTTCAGGTGCTTGGACATGAGATCTAGAAAACGATTGAAATCGAACGCCGAGGTCAGGTTTTCCTCGGCGACAATGGACTTGAGCAGGGCTTGGGTTGGGTTGCCTCCTAGAGAGCGCATAAGGATCCCGAGTTCGGACGGAGCGATCTTGCCATCGCCGTCGGTGTCGAAGAGCGTAAACGCTTCTTTCATTGATGAGATCTGATCTTGGCTCAGATCTTTCCCCATTGTTGCTCTGCGTGTGCGTCTGTGTATGTCCCCGCTTTTGAATGTAAACAGAAGAGAATGAAAAGGGTACTTTTCCGGACAAATTGAAATGGGGTTTAATTGCAATTAAGTGGAATGTGAGGACACAATTCAATTTTTTATTGTTAGTTTTTTGGGTTAATTGCATTGGAAGTTCTAAAGTATAAAATTTGTCTCATTTTAATTTCTAATGTTTCAATTGCATCATTTAATTCCTAAAATATGGAATATGTTTCTATATTGCCCCTCGACCAGAAAGGGTTCAAATTGCTAATAATTTTTTATTATAAATTTATCACGTGATATTTAAATATAGACAAAAAATAATTTAATAACTCTTGACCAAATTTTTAATTAAATTTTGATTAAATAACTATCTAAATTACATAATTTTGATCATAAGTTATCCAAATTTTGATAAAAAAAAACTATACATATTACATATTTTTTTGTCAAGAGCTACCCAAAATTTGTTTAAGAGTTATCAAAATTATTTTTTGTTCATATTTAGGTATTATTTGATAAATTTATGATAAAAAATCGTTAACGATTTAAACGTTGTCTACTTAAAAGATCATATAAAAACATATTCAATATTTCAAAGACCAAAATAATGCAATTGAAATATTAGACATCAAATTAAGATAAATTTAATACTTTGAGGGACTTTTAATACAATTAACCATAATTTTTTTAGGGCCCAAACTTTTCAAGCCTCAAAATTTAGCTCATAGAACAGGGTTTAGAATTAGGAGTGTCAAAATATCAGACGATAAGATTTATATATATACTGATTATATATGATTCATATATAATATAAATTCGATATAACACGATTCGTTAAACACTCTTTAATAAACAAATTAAATATGGGTGGAGTATTTTTAATATGAATCCGCTAAAATCCATTGTAAATCCGTTTCATCTGATACAATTGAGGGACCTATTTAAAATAATTCAAGAAAAGAAAAGAAATGAGTTTTAGAGCCCGGAAAAGCTGAAGGGTTCGTCGTGCTGTACCCTATAACAGTGCTTAACGGCCCAAAATTCTGAATGCGGTTATAGTTCATGTCCATTCGTCATGTGCCCTCTCCCGTCTTTGACGCTAAGTGGCAACTCTTCTTATTGAAACCTTCAACTGAAAAAATCAGTAAAAGAAAGACAGATGCCTCTCCTGCAGGACCCGATAATTCGGCCCAGAGGGGAGAAATCAGAAGACAAGGAAGGTAAAAAAGTGGGCTGACCCTGGATCATGACAAACCAAATTGTCCAATATATTAGAGGAATAGAAACTCATCAACCCAACTCATTTTGTCATATTCACAAACAAAACCAGTCCATAGAACCGTGGCAACGTAGACCTAAGTGGTCATATTGGATCCTTGGGTTGAAAATAAGTTTGGTCACAAGCCCTCCTATCACCTGAGTTAGTCTTTGTTGAATAAGTCCAATTTGTTTAAAGTATTCCATTTATTTAGGAATATTGATTGTCTTCCTTTTATTTAGGCAAATAATCTCATAGACACGTTGGTGTTGCTTGAGATCTTTTAGGAAAACTTTTAGTATTTATAACCTTTGTAATCCTAGGTTTGCTTTAGTTCTTCATTGAGTAATAAAATTCAATTTCAGCATCATCTCTGTCTTATTTTTTGGTTGCTTCCGGTCTCTATATTTATTACAGACAAGAAAGGGAAAAAAATGGGCTGATCCTGGATCATGACAAACCAATTGTCCAATATATTAGAGAAATAGAAACTCATCAACCCAACTCATTTTTGTCATATTGACAAACAAAACCAGTCCATCGGATTAGAATGGGTTGAAAGTAAGTTTGGTCACAAGCCCTCCTACCACCTGCTCAATGTTGGGTGCACCAAAGGTTGTCTTGTATTTTTAAAAACATTAATTTTTTTTAAGAAAAAGGATGCAACACGAGAATTTTTCAATGGTCACCTGTTCTAATACTATTCTCGTCCAAACATGTTTAATTGTAAAGTTTTGATGGAGTCCAATGTATTAGTGTTGATATGATCGCACTTTTGTATTTTTAAAAATATTCATGTGATTCAACTACTGAAAAACTCAATTATGATTTTTCTATTCTTGAACAATCTTATTTTGTCCAAATGTGCTAACCAATTCGCTAGCACACAAAAATCTTCAAGCATAGCAAGGGAAAGGTCACGAGCCCAAGTCAAGTTTCTTTTGACGGTAAGAGCCAAGTAAAGTCATGTGGTGCTGCTAACCAACATGTACAACTACTTTTATGCAATTATGCCCCCCTCATCATAAAGATATGCCATACTCCTAACCTTTTAGAAGGTTTCAGTACCAAGCACAAGACTCCTTTTATGCAAGGTTTCATACGATTATAATGAATTAAATTTATAAGTTAGGTCAAGTCTAAATAACATTATTCTCCTTTTACTTATGCCTTCCTTCTCAGCCAAGACTCCTGACAGACCGATGACAATCAACTAAAAGTGATTTCCCAAAGGCTAGAACATTTTTATCGAATTGAAAGGTACACCGAAAGGCTTCCATGGATAATAAAATGTTCGAAAGCTTTTGGCAACGCAACAATCTTTATTCACTGTTAAATCTGATACAGGCATGCAATGCATGATCTTTATTCACTTTTAAATTTGATACATATGTTCTTTCTTTAAAAATTAGAGATAACTCGGTAAATGAGATTTTGTTGCTCTAAAATTTATGAAAGATAGCTTTACCCACAGTGCGAAAAATTATTCCTGTCACTGAAAGATACAACATTCATATTTGATAGAACAATCCTATTGATACAATAAGTACTACACATTCCTCACCAACTTAAGGTGATTACCTATCTCATATTTCCAAAAATCTATTCGAAATTGTTCATGTATTTAATTTTTTTTTGTTATAGGGTGCATAGGTTTCTACGGACTTCTTCGTTGAACTTGAATATTAGTTACCATAGTCCGAACATATTTAAAACATATTTCCTGAAAAATAATAGTGACTGACCCTTAAAAAGGTATGAAAACTATTGAGTCTAAGACCTTTGACACCAATGAATTACCCTAAGGTTTGTTAATGTGTTTGATGGTGAGATCATCATGCATGAATTTCAGGACAAGCCTTGGCGTAATAGTAAGGTTGATCTATTGTGACCTGGTAATCACGAATTTAAGTTGTGGAAAGAGCCTCTCTACTTATAGAGGTAAATCTGCGTATATTTAATCCTCCCTGCACTTTACAATATAGGAGTCTCAAGTACTGAATATACCATTTTTACCGTCATGAATAAATTTATAGCCAACGACCTCATGNCTACAAATTGGTTGGATAAGAAAGGATGGGGAATGGGAAGGGATGAATTCCCAAACCAAACTCCTTTCCCCCTTTATCCAAAGTGAACAATGGAATTCGTTGATGATGTTCACACTATTACTTCCTCTTTTTCCCCTCTTAATTACTTAATCAACAAGAGGTGTTGATAACTTATTACTATTCATTATTTTCTTCTCTCACCTAACCAATGCTATCCTTCCCAATCCTTTTTCCCCTGCTTATCCCAAGGGGATTTATAATAAACTTGTGCTTAATCTTTCTTTATAAAATGCCCCAAAATCAGAGTTTTATGGATATTATGCCAATTTCTGTTAAAAAAAAAATACAATTCTAATTCTATTATTCGTAGGTTTTTTTCCTTTTCTTTTCCTATTTATATGACAAGTAGTATCCTTAGAAATTAAAACCAGTAATTACCTCAGTGGTGCTAAAAATATCATATCATGTGCAATCAACAATCAAACGCCATAGAGAGAAAATTCTAGAGAGAGCGAGTCATACTCACATCACTTAGCAACCATCCTAGCAATAAATTCCTCATACCGGATCTTCCCATCGGATCCAACATCTACCTCCCGGATCCACTCATCAAACTCCGCCGGATCCAGCTTCTCCCCAATCGAGGTCAAAATGTGCCTGAGATCCGAAACGACGACGAACCCAGTCCCGTCCTTATCCAGAACCTTGAACGCGTCGCGTAGCTGGCGGTCGAAGGGCTCTGGCTTCAGGTGCTTGGACATGAGATCTAGAAAACGATTGAAATCGAACGCCGAGGTCAGGTTTTCCTCGGCGACAATGGACTTGAGCAGGGCTTGGGTTGGATTGCCTCCTAGAGAGCGCATAAGGATCCCGAGTTCGGACGGAGCGATCTTGCCATCGCCGTCGGTGTCGAAGAGCGTAAACGCTTCTTTCATTGATGAGATCTGATCTTGGCTCAGATCTTTCCCCATTGTTGCTCTGCGTGTGCGTCTGTGTATGTCCCCGCTTTTGAATGTAAACAGAAGAGAATGAAAAGGGTACTTTTCCGGACAAATTGAAATGGGGTTTAATTGCAATTAAGTGGAATGTGAGGACACANAAAAGGGTACTTTTCCGGACAAATTGAAATGGGGTTTAATTGCAATTAAGTGGAATGTGAGGACACAGTTCAAATTTTTATTGTTAGTTTTTTGGGTTAATTGCATTGGAAGTTCTAAAGTATAAAATTTGTCTCATTTTAATCTCTAATATTTCAATTGCATCATTTAATCCCTAAAGTATGGAAAATGTTTCTATATTGCCCCTCGACCATAAAGTGTTCAGATTGCTAATAATTTTTTATTATAAATTTATCACGTGATATTTAAATATGGACAAAAAATAATTTGATAACTCTTGACCAAATTTTTAATTAAATTTTGATTAAATAATTATCTAAATTACATAATTTTGATCATAAGTTATCCAAATTTTGATAAAAAACTATCCATATTACATATTTTTTTGTCAAGAGCTACCCAAAATTTGTTTAAGAGTTATCAAAATTATTTTTTGTTCATATTTAGGTATTATTTGATTAATTTATGATAAAAAATCGTTAACGATTTAAACGTTGGCTACTTAAAGGATCATATAAAAACATATTCAATATTTTAAAGACCAAAATAATGCAATTGAAATATTAGACATCAAATTGAGATAAATTTAATACTTTGAGGGACTTTTAATACAATTAACCATAATTTTTTTAGGGCCCAAACTTTTCAAGCCTCAAAATTTAGCTTATAGAACACGGTTTAGAATTAGGAGTGTCAAAATATCAAACGACACGACTTATATATATACTAATTATATATGATTCATATACAATATAAATTCGATATAACACGATTTGTTAAACATTCTTTAATAAACAAATTAAATATGGGTGGAGTATTTTTAATATGAACCCGCTAAAATTCATTGTAAATCCGTTTCATCTGATACAATTGAAGGACCTATTTAAAACAATTCAAGAAAAGAAAAGAAATGAGTTTTAGAGCCCGGAAAAGCTGAAGGGTTCGTCGTGCTGTACCCTATAACAGTGCTTAACGGCCCAAAATTCTGAATGCGGTTATAGTTCATGTCCATTCGTCATGTGCCCTCTCCCGTCTTTGACGCTAAGTGGCAACTCTTCTTATTGAAACCTTCAACTGAAAAAATCAGTAAAAGAAAGACAGATGCCTCTCCTGCAGGACCCGATAATTCGGCCCAGAGGGGAGAAATCAGAAGACAAGGAAGGTAAAAAAGTGGGCTGACCCTGGATCATGACAAACCAAATTGTCCAATATATTAGAGGAATAGAAACTCATCAACCCAACTCATTTTGTCATATTCACAAACAAAACCAGTCCATAGAACCGTGGCAACGTAGACCTAAGTGGTCATATTGGATCCTTGGGTTGAAAATAAGTTTGGTCACAAGCCCTCCTATCACCTGAGTTAGTCTTTGTTGAATAAGTCCAATTTGTTTAAAGTATTCCATTTATTTAGGAATATTGATTGTCTTCCTTTTATTTAGGCAAATAATCTCATAGACACGTTGGTGTTGCTTGAGATCTTTTAGGAAAACTTTTAGTATTTATAACCTTTGTAATCCTAGGTTTGCTTTAGTTCTTCATTGAGTAATAAAATTCAATTTCAGCATCATCTCTGTCTTATTTTTTGGTTGCTTCCGGTCTCTATATTTATTACAGACAAGAAAGGGAAAAAAATGGGCTGATCCTGGATCATGACAAACCAATTGTCCAATATATTAGAGAAATAGAAACTCATCAACCCAACTCATTTTTGTCATATTGACAAACAAAACCAGTCCATCGGATTAGAATGGGTTGAAAGTAAGTTTGGTCACAAGCCCTCCTACCACCTGCTCAATGTTGGGTGCACCAAAGGTTGTCTTGTATTTTTAAAAACATTAATTTTTTTTAAGAAAAAGGATGCAACACGAGAATTTTTCAATGGTCACCTGTTCTAATACTATTCTCGTCCAAACATGTTTAATTGTAAAGTTTTGATGGAGTCCAATGTATTAGTGTTGATATGATCGCACTTTTGTATTTTTAAAAATATTCATGTGATTCAACTACTGAAAAACTCAATTATGATTTTTCTATTCTTGAACAATCTTATTTTGTCCAAATGTGCTAACCAATTCGCTAGCACACAAAAATCTTCAAGCATAGCAAGGGAAAGGTCACGAGCCCAAGTCAAGTTTCTTTTGACGGTAAGAGCCAAGTAAAGTCATGTGGTGCTGCTAACCAACATGTACAACTACTTTTATGCAATTATGCCCCCCTCATCATAAAGATATGCCATACTCCTAACCTTTTAGAAGGTTTCAGTACCAAGCACAAGACTCCTTTTATGCAAGGTTTCATACGATTATAATGAATTAAATTTATAAGTTAGGTCAAGTCTAAATAACATTATTCTCCTTTTACTTATGCCTTCCTTCTCAGCCAAGACTCCTGACAGACCGATGACAATCAACTAAAAGTGATTTCCCAAAGGCTAGAACATTTTTATCGAATTGAAAGGTACACCGAAAGGCTTCCATGGATAATAAAATGTTCGAAAGCTTTTGGCAACGCAACAATCTTTATTCACTGTTAAATCTGATACAGGCATGCAATGCATGATCTTTATTCACTTTTAAATTTGATACATATGTTCTTTCTTTAAAAATTAGAGATAACTCAGTAAATGAGATTTTGTTGCTCTAAAATTTATGAAAGATAGCTTTACCCATAGTGCGAAAAATTATTCCTGTCACTGAAAGATACAACATTCATATTTGATAGAACAATCCTATTGATACAATAAGTACTACACATTCCTCACCAACTTAAGGTGATTACCTATCTCATATTTCCAAAAATCTATTCGAAATTGTTCATGTATTTAATTTTTTTTTGTTATAGGGTGCATAGGTTTCTACGGACTTCTTCGTTGAACTTGAATATTAGTTACCATAGTCCGAACATATTTAAAACATATCTCCTGAAGAATAATGGTGACTGACCCTTAAAAAGGTATGAAAATTATTGAGTCTAAGACCTTTGACACCAATGAATTACCCTAAGGTTTGTTAATGTGTTTGATGGTGAGATCATCATGCATGAATTTCAGGACAAGCCTTGGCGTAATAGTAAGGTTGATCTATTGTGACCTGGTAATCACGAATTTAAATTGTGGAAAGAGCCTCTCTACTTATAGAGGTAAATCTGCGTATATTTAATCCTCCCTGCACTTTACAATATAGGAGTCTCAACTACTGAATATACCATTTTTACCGTCATGAATAAATTTATAGCCAACGACCTCATGAAAATTTGGCCTTTATTCCTTTATATAGTGTGGGATGGTTCCCCCATGTCTATTTCATTCCAGGGGCATAATATATGATTCCACATCACAAGGACCACAAGCTTAGGTAAGGTTCCTTTTCCAATAATGCCTTTTTTTCTTCTTTAGGGGTTTTCATCACTAAGTCTGCTGGCCACTCAAACTGGTTCACAAGCTTTATAGTATCTTTCTTGTTCATTACAAGAGGCTCACCTATATGGATTTGAGCTATCTCTGTCAATATGGGGCCATTTAGGTTAGCACAAGGAAGGTTACATTTCATTCTCTGCCAAAATTCTGCTTGGAATTCATGATGAGTTCTTTTTGGTAATCATTTCTCACTTTTTGATTTTAAGATTAATTTTATAAGGGATGTNGTCCAATATATTAGAGGAATAGAAACTCATCAACCCAACTCATTTTGTCATATTCACAAACAAAACCAGTCCATAGAACCGTGGCAACGTAGATCTAAGTGGTCATATTGGATCCTTGGGTTGAAAATAAGTTTGGTCACAAGCCCTCCTATCACCTGAGTTAGTCTTTGTTGAATAAGTCCAGTTTGTTTAAAGTATTCCATTTATTTAGGAATATTGATTGTCTTCCTTTTATTTAGGCAAATAATCTCATAGACACGTTGGTGTTGCTTGAGATCTTTTAGGAAAACTTTTAGTATTTATAACCTTTGTAATCCTAGGTTTGCTTTAGTTCTTCATTGAGTAATAAAATTCAATTTCAGCATCATCTCTGTCTTATTTTTTGGTTGCTTCTGGTCTCTATATTTATTACAGACAAGAAAGGGAAAAAAATGGGCTGATCCTGGATCATGACAAACCAATTGTCCAATATATTAGAGAAATAGAAACTCATCAACCCAACTCATTTTTGTCATATTGACAAACAAAACCAGTCCATCGGATTAGAATGGGTTGAAAGTAAGTTTGGTCACAAGCCCTCCTACCACCTGCTCAATGTTGGGTGCACCAAAGGTTGTCTTGTATTTTTAAAAACATTAATTTTTTTNCTCCTACCACCTGCTCAATGTTGGGTGCACCAAAGGTTGTCTTGTATTTTTAAAAACATTAATTTTTTTAAGAAAAAGGATGCAACACGAGAATTTTTCAATGGTCACCTGTTCTAATACTATTCTCGTCCAAACATGTTTAATTGTAAAGTTTTGATGGAGTCCAATGTATTAGTGTTGATATGATCGCACTTTTGTATTTTTAAAAATATTCATGTGATTCAACTACTGAAAAACTCAATTATGATTTTTCTATTCTTGAACAATCTTATTTTGTCCAAATGTGCTAACCAATTCGCTAGCACACAAAAATCTTCAAGCATAGCAAGGGAAAGGTCACGAGCCCAAGTCAAGTTTCTTTTGACGGTAAGAGCCAAGTAAAGTCATGTGGTGCTGCTAACCAACATGTACAACTACTTTTATGCAATTATGCCCCCCTCATCATAAAGATATGCCATACTCCTAACCTTTTAGAAGGTTTCAGTACCAAGCACAAGACTCCTTTTATGCAAGGTTTCATACGATTATAATGAATTAAATTTATAAGTTAGGTCAAGTCTA